TATATACACACACACACATATTGATATTGATTTTTTGAGACAGGGTTTCTCTGTAGCTTTGGAGCCTGTCCTGGAACTAGCTCTTGTAGATCAGGCTGGCTTTGAATTCACAGAGATCCACCTGCTTCTGCCTCCCAAGCACTGGGATTAAAGGCGTGCGTCACCACCGTCCTGACCTCACCACCTTTTCATTATTTTTTATTTCGAGACTGGGTTTCACTAAGTTTACCATGGTGGCCTTGAACTCAGCCTGTAGCCTGGGCAAACCTTGAACTTGCAGTGCTCTTGCCCAGCCTCAAGAGTCCCGGAACTGCAGATCTGTGCCATCCCCTCAAAGTCTCTAAGAGTTTTTTTTTCCCCTAAGAAAATTCTTTTCTTAGTGTGAATTTCTAAAAGTCTCTAGGTCAGTGCCAAGAGGATTTTTGGAAAGAAGTTGAGAAAAACCCTACTGTAGGTGGACCTAATCTTGCCCAGACCCGTTGGAAACTATAAAAAGGAAGAAATCCTTTAGGAGCCAATGTAAAACTAGTATCAAAACTATGCGAGAGTCTCGAGCCGCCTGCCACTTAGATGCTCCCCCAAGTTGGAGAATAGTTGTGGCAAGTCAGTGTTCTGCTGCCTCCGACTCCAAGCCTCTGGCCCATGTTGAGGGGGCTCCCAGGGAAGCTCCTGGTGAAGATGAGCTCACAGCATGGGGGAGTTGATGGTGTTGGAAGGTTTTCCCAAGAGGGCTGGGAGCAGGCATTCTCTGACCCTCCATGCTGAGCCTGGGTTGCTTCCTAGGAGAAACGGCTGCAGTGCCTGTCCTTCAGCGGAGTGAAGGAAAGGGAGTGGCAGATGGAGTCTCTCATTCGGTACATCAAGGTGATCGGTGGCCCTGCTGGAAGGGAAGGTCTGTTGGTGGGCCTGAAAAACGGCCAGGTGAGTCTTCCCAGGCTACCATCCAGCTTCTTATCCAAGACAGGCGCAGGTTTGCTGTCGGGATGACCTGAGCTGGGCTGTGGACAGCTTGGAATTTACTTCCACGCAGATAGCTTCAGTCTGTGGGCTTCAGCCTCGCAGCATGCTCGCACCTGGCAGTGGCGCTGCGGCTGCACGTAGCAGGGATTAGTGGGTTTAAGGTCACCCCAAAGGTGGGATTTGTTGGAGCCACAGCTTTAGTGGATTGCTGGAGAGGAAGGCAGAGATTGTTCATGAGGTCAGAGCCCTATTAGGCAGTGTGTGGATTAACCAGTACCCCACTGGGTCCTAGATAGTCCTAGTCCTTAGGCGGTTACTAGAAGCTAAAAGATAAATGAAGTGTTTGGACAAATGCATTAGGAAATCTAGGCTATATGAAAGTTGAACAGATTTGTGTGTGTGTGTGCGTGTGTGTGTTCATCTGCATTCTTTGCTCAAAATAAGAAAAGTTCTATGTGGGCTACATAGAAATTTGAAAGTGAAAATATAACTGCATTAGCCTGAGAGCCAAGCTGTGTAGCAGATGGCTCGTGGCTGAGGCTGGTCAGGTCTTTGCTGGGGACGGAAGTTGCGGAGCATGAGATCAGTGGGAGCTGTCAAGCAGTAGTGCCCAAGTGGGGGACAGTTTGTCCTCCCTCAGTCATCTGTCAGGTCTCATGTGAGGCTGGGAGCATGACTTGGGGTCAGGTTAACCTGGGACCACAATCTTTCTTAGCTTCTCACTGGCTCTATGGCACTGGGCAGATCAGTTTGCTCTCTGGGCTCAAGTTTTCCAAATAAGGACAATACTTTGTGTCTTCCCAGGGCTGTCAAGAACAGGACAGGGGTGTCAGTGAATGGCAGCTGTCAGCATCAGTGTCATTATTACTCTATACCAGATGTCTCGCCTGTGTTTACAGTAGCCCTTCCTGTGTTTGTGGATGGTCCCCTACCCGGCAGTTTGAGCGGTGTCATTAAAAAATGTCCCCAGTCCACACAGACATTAGAGTGAGTTTGGCATGTCTCAGGCCTGTTGTTGCTTCAGTGACCTCCGATGAACCATTCTTCTGGTTTCTTAAGGATGGCACCCCCTTCCCCCACACACCCTGCTTTATTTAATGAGTCTTTTCTCTGCACACAGCTTCTGGAGGAGTTAGTGGGTGTTGTTCTTGTAGAACACATGGGACGCCAACAGCCTGGCAGTGGTCCAGGGTCTGGTTGCCATGGTGACTCACACTTATTCCTCTGAAATTTCGCCAGATTCTGAAGATCTTCGTGGACAATCTCTTTGCCATTGTCCTGCTGAAGCAGGCCACAGCCGTGCGCTGCTTGGATATGAGTGCCTCCCGGAACAAGTTGGCTGTGGTAGATGAAAATGACACATGCTTGGTGTATGACATCCATACGAAGGAGCTGCTCTTTCAGGTGAAGTCCTAGATTGAGGCACGGTCCTTAGCACAAGACTGAGCTTCCCAGTTGTGCAAGAAGGTACCCAGCCCCGCCTGGGAGGACCAGCAAGGGGCAGGAACCCAGCACAGGTGTAGCTTCTGGAAGCTCCAGGGAGCCGGTGTCCAGGTCAGCCTCCTTAGCACCTGTTTCCTTGCCAGTAACACATTTTTCACAGAAGAGTAAACAGTATCTGAGGTGTTGGTGATGTGTCTGGTGGCCAAGTTAATGTGTGGTGGTGATTCTTTTGATGAAGTCTGTGACTCCCTTACCCGGGATCGCCAGTTCCTTCCAGTGCCTAGGGCACACTAGGAAGGGCAGGTGGAGGCTCACCCTCAGCTTACTCCACAGGGTGCTGTAGCACAGTGGCTGCACAATGGATCATTGGGATGGGTTGTTTCCACACCCTGGTCCTATGCCTGGAAAAAGTGTGTCAGTGAGTACTCCGAAGACTACCCAACACCTAGTGGGCTTCCTGCCAAGCCCCGGCTGGTCTTGGCCTCTTTGGGGCATTGCAAGTGGTCAGAGCTTATTTATGTGAAGTGAGGACCCCTGAGTCTGGAGCCTCTGCTCTCTGGTTTCTCCTTGCAGGGTTTCCCAATGCCATGGGTATACATAGATGCTCTTCCAAGGCCCTCCTTGTCCTTGGCAACAGAACCAGCAGGGTAGAAGTGCTTGACTTTCCTCAATCAGTTAGAGAGGGATACTTGGCTGCCATTAGCCCCCAAAATGACTTCAATTATTAGCACTTCATGTCACAGAGGAAGCAGAGGGTTTAGGGAAAGAACACGTGTCCATTGTCTTTGGACTGAGCTGGGTTCATGTACCTCTGTGAGTCTCAGTTTCACCTGTGACTAACATGAAACTTTAAGCTCAGGCTTGCCTCTAGCTCTCTTTCTATAGAGCTGAAGATAACTTGAGGAAGATCCTCTACCTCCATGTCCTTAGTACTGGGGCTAGCGATGTGCACCACCACACCTGACTTCTACTGTGCTGAGATCAGACCCAGGGCCCGTGCGTGCTAACTGTGTCACAGTCCCTGCCCATGCTAACATGAAGCTGGAAGTTCCCTTCTCATAGAATTACCTCAGAAACACACAAGATGCCATTATGTGCTTAGTGCTGGTCACGACTAGGCCTATATGTTGCCCTTCTCCCCAAAGTCAGTACTGCTTCTGTCTCGACCTGGAGGTGGTTAGCAGACCTCTCAGTATGTCCTGTGTAGAGACTGGAAAGGTGCATGGCTCTTTGCCCTTATTGTGGCTTTTCTGGGGGACTAGTGAAGGTGGCTCTTGGGTCTTGCCAGGAGACATACAGTTCCTAGTACTTTACCCACTGCATTTGTCTCTTCACGTGAAAGCTCCCAACTTCTCTCATTAAGAGAAGAGTGTAGGCCAGTGGTTCTCAACCTTCCTAATGCTGTGACCCTTTAATACAGTTCTTCATGTTGTGGTCACCCCCAACATAACATTATTCTTGTTGTTACTTCATAACTCTAATTTTGTTAGTGTTATAGGTCGTAATGTAAATATTTTTTTGGAGATAGCTTGCCAAAGGGGTCTTGAGTACCACTGTTCTAGGCAGAGGAATGAGCCTCTGCTTGACCCAGGCTTCCGGCTGAGTAGAACAGTGGTGACTGTTTTTAGTGTGAGAATGTTAATGCAGAGACAGTTTATTATTTTCTAATTTTGAAAAGAACTCTCCATTCTTTTGCTTTATTATAAAAAACAATGGATGTTCATGACCAAAGAAATGAGACAAGCAGTGGGGGAGGGGCAGAGAAAATAGAAATCCCTCCCGATTCCATTCATTCAAAAGCAGTCACTGTCTTAATCTCCAGGGGTAACCCTCTCGGCCTCCTTCCTGGGTAGGTAGGGTTGTCTGTGGGTGAGTGTGTGTGTATCTGTGTGTGCTGGGGAATCACTGCCACAGAGCAGCACCCCACCCTCTTCCTCTAGTAGGAATGGAATCCTACCTTGTTGAATTTCTACTTATTGTGGACTGATTAAAATAGGGAAGGGATAATAATTTTGAAAATAGCGTATGTCAAAAAATTCTATCACGCCAGCAGTACGCCTAGGGGTTGCCTCACCCCTTCTCTTCTGGTCACCTGCCTTTTCTCATCCTGCTGTCAGGCTGCAAGATGGGGGTGGGAGTGTGCCAGCGCCTAACAGCCTTTGTCCCCCAGGAACCAAATGCCAACAGTGTGGCCTGGAACACCCAGTGTGAGGACATGCTCTGCTTCTCCGGAGGAGGCTACCTCAACATCAAGGCCAGCACCTTCCCGGTGCACCAGCAGAAGCTGCAAGGGTTCGTGGTTGGCTACAATGGCTCCAAGATCTTCTGCCTTCATGTCTTCTCTATGTCTGCCGTGGAGGTGCCACAGGTAACCTGTCGTTTTTTTCAAGCTGTAGGACACACAAAACACAATGGTCAGACTGGTGCTAAGAGCCACAAAGAGAGGGAGGAGGGAAGTGTGGAATTAGTGATGTCAGGTGCTGTAGTCTTTCATATGTTGTGCCCTGTGTAGCCGTGTGTTTCTGGACAAAGAGCTCAGCCCTATTGTCTTAATTTGGGTTTTTGTTGCTGTGACAATGCCATGACCAAAAAGCAAGTTGGGGAGGAGAGGGTTTATTTGGTTTACATATCTACATGTGGTCTATCACTGAAGGAAGCCAGGACAGGAACTCAAACAGGGCAGGAACCTAGAGGCAAGAGCTGATGTAGAAGCCATGGAGGGGTACTGCTTACTGGCTTGCTCCACGTGGCTTCCTCAGCCTATTTTCTTAGAGTACTCAGGACCACTAGCCCAGGGATGGGGTTATCCACAATTGGCTGGTCCCTCCCTCATCAATCACTAATTAAGAAAAATGCTCTACAGGCTGGCCTACAGCCGGATCTTATGGAGACATTTTTCTTTTTCTTTTTCTTTTTTTTTTTTTTATTTTCAGTGTGTCTAAATGTTGCTAGGACTTCACTTGACTCTTTAGATCTGTATCTATTTTGAGATTTTTTTCCATTCTTCTCTCCCTCCCTCCCTTCCCTCCTCTAGGTCCCCCCCACATCACCTTCCCTCTCCCCCAAATCTACTGTTTCTCCATTTCCCTTCAGAAAAGAGCAGGCTTCCTAGAGGTTTAACCAAACTCAGTGTAACAAGATGCAATAAGACTAAACATAGACCCTCATATCAAAGCTGAATAAGGCAACCAGTAAGAGAAAAAAGATCCCAAGAGTAGACAAAAGAGTCAGAGACACCCCCACTCCCATTGTTAGGAGTCTAACAAAAAACCCAAGCTAAAGAACCACATATACAAGCAGAGGGCCTAGTGCCGACCCATGCAGACTCTGATTGCTGCTGCAGTCTCAGTGAGCCCCTATGAGCCCTGCTTAGTTGATTTTGTGTTCTCTTGGTGTCGTCAACCTCTCTGGCTCCCATGATCTTTCCCCTCTCTTCTGTGGAGTTCCCCAAGCTCCATCTAATGTTTGCCTGTGAGTCTCTGTACTCCCATCAGTTGCCAGAGGAAACCTCTCTGATGATGATAGGGCTAGGCACCGATACTGTGAGTACAGCAGGAGATCATTAGGAACCATTTCATTGATCTTTTCTTTTGTCCTCTCAGATGACCATAAATCTGACCAGCACATCCGTTGGCACTCTTTTTCCCTTCCTGCTGCTTTGTTAGCAGTACTCAGTATTATGTTAGTGGCAAGTCCAGCAGGGTGGACACCTAAGTGCATGAGTGGTAATGCTGTGTATGAGAGGAGACTAGGTAGAGTAGGAACTGAGGACTGTGGACCAGAGGGGCACATGGGACCCTGCATAGTCCCCTGCATCCAGAGCAGGCCAGCTAGAGACAGGGGTGAAAGTATGGAGTTATAGAATTGGGAGGATAGAAACAGACTGAAGAATCCAGGCAGCCCATCTGGTGGCTGATCTAGTTACCACTGCCCTAACTGCCTGTCTGCTTGTCCCTGAAGTGAGTGACACTTCTTATAGAACAATCATAAAACCAGGACAAACACTAAGGAGAAACTTGGACCACAGCATCCCATCTTCAAGAGAATATTTGCTTTTTTTGTATGTGTGTGTGTGCATGTGTGCATGCATATATAAACACATGTGTGCTGGTGCACATGGAGTTGGAGTTTCAGGGTATTGTGAGACACCTCACATGGGTACCAAGAATGTGACTTGGGCCCTCTCTGAACCACTGAGCCCTCTCCCGAGACCCCAGACATATTATTGTGTGTACTGTACTGATTATGGACCATTAGCAAGAGAATGGAGCTTTTAATCACTCTATGCCATCTTGTGTTTTAAAATGTTGAGACGTTTGTTAGTGTGTGTGTCTACATGTGTGAGGTCCCAGGACAACTTTTGGGAGTGGTTTCTCTCATTGTTGGCCCTGGAAATTGGACTCAGGTTGTCACATGTGTGCAGCAAGTCCTTTTACTTTTTGAGCCATCTTGCCAGCCTCATGCCATCCTCTTTTGACCTGACATTCAGTTATTCCAGCCCCATCCCTTTGATGAATTATTGGCTGTAAACTAGCAATCTCACCTAGCATAGTAGCTTATGCCTATAATCTCAGGCTTTGAGGCTGCGGCAGTAGGATTTCAAGTTTAGGGGCAGCCTAGGGTGCACACAACACATTTTCTTAAAACAAAACAAAAAACCACTAACAATAAAACACAATTGCCAAAATCAAAGGCCCTACTTGCTAACCCTATAGTGAGATTTTGCTCAGCAGCTGCTGGAAACGTTGTGCCGTGTCAGTGAATGTATTTCACTAGGATTTTTAAACAGATGATTGTAGGCTCACGTATCTGTGTGAGAAATGACAACTGATTCCTTGAGTTTGTTTCTCAGTTTCCCATAGGTGCATGACTGTAATGCAGTTTGTGTGCAGCCTGAGCACCTTCCTGCTCCAAGCTCCTGTGCTCTCTGCCGTGTGCCCAGCGTCATTGGTAATGGACGCAGCACTTGTCACATGGATGGGCCACAGCTGCTCCACCAGCACTGCTGTGATATTTGTACTATCCATAGCCTTTTGCTTTCTTTTTGCTTTTGGGAGACAGGGCCTCATTATTGGCCATGGCTGTCCTGTAACTATGTAGACCAGGCTGGTCTCAAACCCACAGGGTTCCACCTGTCTTTGCCTCTGAGTGCTGAGATTAAAGGAGTGCGCCACCACACCTGGCTGCGCAAAGCTGCTGCTTTTGTGAATAGTGGGTGTCTTCCTAGTGTCTGTTCTGACTTCGTATAAATTTCAAAAGTGCATTGCTGGGCCAAAGGCCCTGTACACTGAAAGATGTTCAGACATTCTAGACTGCCTTTCTTTTTGGCTCTGTTAGACTGCCTGCCTACACACACCTGGCCTACACCTGCAAACTCCGCCTACTTCTTCTCTAAAGCCAGGAAGGCCCTTGTTAGCTTGCTGCTTCGGGGATTATAGCAGCAGTATCCACAGCAGCTCTGATCATAGCGAGTATTCAAGCAATGGCAGTGAATTCTGATGTGAATCAGCAGCAGAAAAGAGGAAGCATGAGAAATGTCAGCAGGGGGACTGTGGGAGCAGATGAGGCCTGCTGGACTTTTTCCTTGCCATCCTTCCCTGCTCCCCATCAGCACCCCAGACTCCAGCACCACATGTACAAGGCCCCATTCTTCCTCATCTGTGCCAAACAGACCTTGCTTCTTCAAAGGTTTTCCCTTCAGACTGCCATCTTAATCTCAAAAGTAAATGCAGTTGCTGCTCACAGATTCTGGCCAGCCAAGAGGAGCCAGAGGGGCTGCCGGGGCTCCCTCTACCAGGGCCTCAAGATTCAGTAGCCAAAGACTCTGTAGGTTGCAGCCAGCCTTCCTGCTGATGCAGCAGGCCAGAGCTGCCAAGCACTGGGAAAGGCGATCTGAGACAAAGGCTGTTTATCTGTCGCCTCTGCCTCCAGTCGTCTTGCGGTTTGGGCCTCCAGACCAGGCAGAAAGCCCCATTTTTGCTCTTGGGATTTTTTCCTTGGTTTCTTTTCGAAATTTGTATCATCTTGTGCAAGAACTGCTGTGTCCGAGCTGCCAAGTAGGACAGCAAGCCCAGTTGTGCTCTGTCACGTCATGCTTGGAGCTCAGCAGCCAGATAAGGGGTGCTCAGAGGGGACTGGACCATTAGGAAGTTTCTCGAACCCTCACTCGGGTTGTGCCTCCCTGCCCGTGTGACCTGCCCATCAGCTCATCCCGTGCTGTGTTTTCATGTTTCCTTGTCATGGGGCAGTCAGCACAGCAGAAGTTCTGCAGCTTGGGAAAAAGAACCCTGGCTTTGGGTTCTGGCCCTGAAGCCTGGCCCAACTGCATCTGAACCCCTTATATCTCTCTCTGGGGTCTCATTTCTTTTCTATATAATGGGGTATTGTTGTGTGTGTGTGTGTGTGTGTGTGTGTGTGTGTGTGTGTGTTTGTTTTGTTTTACTTGAGACAGATGCTTGCCTTGTTGCCCGGGCTGGACTTGAACTCCAGGGCTAAAGCAATCCTCCCACCTCTACCTCCAGAGCAGCCGAGACTGCAGGCTTTGCCACTGTGAAATGGGGTTAATTACAGCCATTTTCAGGTTTTGCCTGTCCCAATTCCTGTTATTATTCCTTTTTATTACAGACAGTCATGAAACAGCAAAAGCCACAAAACAGAACTAAAGTGGACCAGAGAGTATGAGGAGTCTAGAAAATGAGCTCACTGTGGGGGCAGAGTGGGTGGAGGTTGAGAAAGCTTCAAGGAGGTACGAAAGCTGTGTCCCGGGAGCTGGGCGCCTCATCAGCCCACAGCAGTGCGAGTGGGCAGAGTCTCTAAATAGAAGGTAGCATGTTTCCCTACGGGCACCTGGCTAGGATGTGGCTGGGCCAGGCTCTGTGGCCAGCTGCTTCCCTACAGTAAGGGGAAGTGGATAGTGTGGTACACAGGAAAAATACCCCCCTCCCCCCGGGAACAGTTGTATCTTGCTGTCAGAGGGTAGACTGGCTTGAAGGGAAAAAGGTTTCTTTTAATTTTGAAGTTAAAAAAAAAAAGAGGACCAGAAATGTCAAAGATAAAGACCCCAAATGGAGAAAATAGCATTTCCAAGTTCACGTTTGGAAATGTGCACATTAGCACAAAGGCACTGGCTGATTGATCCTTACTGCCCAGGAACCCAGAAGGGAGGTGTGGGTCCCTGAAGCGTATTGATAGCTTCATATCAAGACAGGATCTTTTATTGCCAAAGATGCTAAGCCTAGCTTAGCTTTAGTGTGATGTGTGTAAATGCATGTGCATGCATATATAGACACACACACACACACACACACGCACATATGCACACACGGCAAGAAGGAGCACAAGACCAGGAATATCAGATCACCTATTGCTCTAGCATCTAGCTTTTAATTTGCTAGGTCTGTGACCTCAGGCAAGTTAAGTGTCCTGCAGGGCCTGCCTGTCCTAGGTGTCCTTACACAGGGCTGTTTAGAGAACTGCAAAGCTTTTTATAACCTTGAAAAAAAGAAGTCATTAGGGTATGCTTATAAATATTCTTAACTGGGCACTTGGTCTTCAGAACCAGAGAACTCAGGGTCTTGTCTGGAGCAAATTCCATATTTGCGCCCTTTTCAGATTCAGTTCCTCTGAGAAGAGGCCACCCCAGATGTCTCCCTTCTAGTCACATGACTCATTCCTCTGGCCTGGGATGGAGGGCCTGCTGCCGCCACAGGGAGTGCAGGGCTTCACCTCAGAGCCACATGGAATTAGGATGCAGTACACAGAAGCCAGGGCCAGCTCAGACAGTTCTCTTGGGACATGAGAAAGCAGGGAAGAGTTTCCAGGAGGGACCTGCTAGCCCAGCTTTACAAGACCAACTAGGCATTTCCCGATGGGGGGGATAGATCCTTCCCAGAGAAGGTGACATGTTATGGTCAGGTAGACTCAGGGAAGGGGTGGGCAGATGGCAGCCAGAAGTGTGTGTTGGGAGTGCTGACTCAGCAGGAGAGGGTGGTGGAAAGGAGGGCACCCAGATGGGCCAGGCAAAAGTGCAGACTTCAGAAGGGCTGAAGTAGGCACTTCCCGCGATAATACTCTGAACATCTGGAAGTAGGCCTTCTTGGAACCTGACTCTTTCCAGTGCTCTGAACAGATTTTTAACTTTCTCCCACAGTCTGCTCCGATGTACCAATACCTCGATAGGAAAATGTTCAAAGAAGCCTACCAGATCGCCTGTTTGGGAGTGACAGACGCCGACTGGCGTGAACTGGCCATGGAAGCTCTAGAAGGACTTGAGTTTGAAACTGCAAAGAAGGTACCCATCTTGTCGGTGTGCCAGTTTGTCCTTGGAGGCTCTCTCCTCAGTCACCCCTTCACTGTGGGCCTGGCAGGAACAACTCCCAAGGTTCTTTCTCTGGAGGACCAGGCCCTGTCCTCACGGAAGTTGGGAAGATCTCAAGCAGATAATGCAGTAAACCATGTGGTTGGCTCTGGCTGTTAGTCTTGGTAGCGACCATTTATATAAAGATAAAAGCCTGGGTCTGAACAGCAGCCACTTATCACCCCACCATTGTTGTTAGCACCGGCTTAGTGCAAACGAGGTGGTCAGCCTCTGATTCCCACGGCCTCCCTTAGTGACTCAGACGGTCACTTCCGGTCTAGTTGATTAAAGCAGTTGACCTTGTCTAGGCCCATGAAGGCTCCCAGATGTGTTTCCATCTGAAGTCCGAGGGAGAAAGACTGACTTCCAGCCTCTCTCTCATCCTCTTTCCCTGCCTCTTCTCCCATAGCCAAGTTGAGAGCCTCCTTCTGCCCAGGCTGCCGGTGTTGAGGGACCCGTGGACATATGTGGTACCTGCCTCCTGTTAAACAGGACAGTGGAGCCAGCCCATGTCTCAGAGCTGTTCCTACCCTTTTCTCTTGGCCCGGCCTTCCTGCCTCTGTTCTAAAATGGGGTGTGAAAATGCATAGTCTCCTTCATTTTGAACTTACTCTTGAGGTCTCCATAGGCCTGGTAAAGGGCAGTTTGGAGTAGCTGCGCAAACGCCAATCATACACAGAGAGCTGGAGGCAGAGCATTGGGGAATGTGTACAAGGCCCTGGTTCAGTACACAGCACGCGAGGAAAAATAAGCCGACTCAATAATTGCCTGCGTGTTTGTAGATCAGATAAGCATCCGGGACTCGGGAGAGGCAAGGTTCCTCCTGCCCCTCTCAGAAATGCCAGCATGTGAAGATGTCTGCTCTTTGTGACCAGGAAGGAATTGTCTCCCTCTAGGCTGTCCCCTTTCATGTAGTATTGCCCTGCACCACCCAGCACATGGCCCCTTCAGTGGCAGAGCAGATGTCTAAGTAAAGGGAACCAAAACTGGGCCATACCCTTTGATCCAGTTCCTACCTACCCTGCGTCCCAGAACACAGATCAGACACGATCGTTTCAGAGCACTGGGCTCTTCGTTAGAGTGGTTGGCAAAGGACAGTTGTGTGCACACTGCTTGTGGGCAGCCTGCTGTGTAGGAAAGGTGTACGACTCTGACCACAGACCTTGACCAGTGTTTTATCTTAACCCTGAATCCCTGACTGTCCTCTCCCCTAGGTGCCAGTCACTCAGTACTTAGACTTATGGATGGAAGGGCCTGGCCTAGAGAGATGTCCCCACTAGATGGCACCGAAGAGCTGCTTAGTGCTGCCAGCTGCCTATGTTCCCTGCTCCCCACTTCCCTCTGTGGAAGTTGTTCACAGTCTTGTGACTGACCACTCCGAGGAGCACCGTGACTCTGCGGTATATCAGGGCTGAAGGATGTCAGTGGCAGATTTATCAAGTTCACGGATACAGTGGCCAGAACCACAAAGACTCTTGGAGAGGGCCTCACTTGCCTGACCATAACGAAGGTAGCTGGAGCCAAAAGGCAGGAAGGAAATAGGCTCAAGGTCCTGCCTGGGCTCAAAACTTGGCTGAGACTTGAGTCTCCTTTTTCTACTCTGCCCAGCACCAGGGACCGATTTCTGTACTAGTTTCAGGAAACACAGATGAGGAAGGCAGCTTGTCAGACCTTTGGATAGTCCTGCTGGACCTTTATCCACTGCTGCCTGAGACACCTTTATCCTGTTAGTTCTTCAGGAAAAGCCAACTGCTGGGCACTGTGGAATGTGCCTGTCACCCCAGCATCTCAGGACTGAGACAGGAAGGTCCCCTGAGTGCAGGAGATCAAGGCCAGCCTAGGCAACAAAATAAGCCCCTATTTCAGAAAGAACGCCACTTGCCAGATCCCTCCTGGGCTGTGCTTTGCCTAATCCTGCAGTCTGCCACTGCCATGCTCAGACAGGAAGTGTCGTCTCTAGGGTATCCCCTCCAGCTTGTGTAGCTCTTGGCTCAGGGAGATTTAGCTCTCTATTTAATCTGCCCAGCTTCCCCTTTCCACTGTGAACCCCTGAACTAGGGAGGGGACAGAGGCCAAGTGAAATCCTGTGTCCCCAGCCTTTGAATAGATTCTGGACCTATAGGGTGAGAGGGTGAAATCGCACTGTGGTCATCTGCAAGGCAGCCAGAAGCCGGATGACTTGATCACTCCCCAGTTCTTCTAGCACAGAGGGTGCCTTGCAGGAGCCAAGGGCTGTCATGCATTCTAAACCATAATGGCTCAGGAGCTGCTGCTCAGGGCATGTGTCCATCCATTTCACATGGACAGCACAGAAAGCACAGCTGGGTAGAAATGTTGCCGGCAGAGCACATGAAGGTCAGCTCCCCCAAGCCCCTTGTGGTACCTGAAAGCAGCAAAAGGCGCTTCACTGGCACCGCTCTGCCTGACCCTCACAGCCTTCCAGAAATGCACGCATTAGAAGTCTGCCTCTACCGGGAGTCTAAGCAGACAGTGCACATTCAGGTTTAACACGCAAGCTTGCTTTCTAGAGACTGGAAGATCATCCCTGCCGTCCCCTACAAAGCCATTCTTCCCTGGGCTTTCTCCTCCTCCTCTCCCTGTGTACCCTGTGTGCCCCGTGTGTGAAGCACCATTGGGTTAGCAGAGCTGTCTGCTGCTCCCATCCAAGTCACAGGTATAAGCGTACAGGCTCTTGTCTCTGTCTTGCCTTCTCTGCAGACACCGTTGACTGGAATCAGCCCAGCCTGCCTTTCCATTATGAGCAGTGTCTGGCAAGGGGTTCCACTGCAGACTACAGGATCATAGTTCTGTTTTACCTAATCCCAAAATGATTGATGCTCCCAGGACTTCTTTACAGTTCTTTGTAAGGACTAATCCTCGAGATGAAGACAGGCTGCGCCTCGCTGGGTGGCACACCTCCCAAGCACACAATGATGAATCAGGCTCCCCTCCCCTGCTTGCTGGCTCTCTTTATAGAGCTCGATGTGTTCCCACCCCCACCAGCCTGTGGAGAACAAGAAGGCAGCTGACTCTGTTCTTTTCTCTTCCCATAGGCCTTTACCAGGGTCCAGGACCTTCGCTACCTGGAGCTGATCAGCAGTATTGAGGTAATATCTTCTCAGGATTCAGTGGCCAGTAGTCCTGAGGACATGGGAGCACAGGCCTTCTGATCTGTTCTGGGGGATAGAGTGGTTAGTTACTTGGTAGTTGAATGAGGCAGAAGGATTTGGTTTCTTTTAATCTTTGATTCCTTGTTCCTAAAATGGGGTCTATGCACTGGCAATGGTGGTACTCACCTTTAATCCCAGCTCCTGGGAGGCAGAGGCAGGCAGATCTCTGAGTTTGAGACCAGCTTGGTCTACAGAGTGAGTTCTAGGACAGCCAGGGCTACACAGAGAAACCCTGTCTTGAAAAACCAAGATGGTGGTCTATCATTCCCTGGTGTGTCTGTGAGGCAGAGTCAGGCTCTTGTGATGTGATATGCCTCTCTGGGCATGACTGTTGCCGTATTCCTGGACTCGAGCAATCTGCCAGTGAATGAAGCATTTCCCAGATGCTCCTAAGCTGCTTTGAGACCTACCAAGCCATCCTCCTGCCCAGACGGCCTGTGATGGGCTGAAGAATCTGGTTCTGACTGCACCATTTATGGGTGATGGAAGACACTATTTTTAATTTCTGTGTATTCCATTGCTGTCTGACTATCTGTAAAAAGGCATACATATTTTTTCTCCTGAACAGATTTATTGTGAGGCTAAGGGAATGTGAGACACATTTGAGCTCTCAGTTGGAAGCAGCAATGAAATTGCAAATGTCTTGCCCCTTTAACTCGGTTCAGCAGAGTAAATACTTGATGTGGCCCCAGCCTTGTGCAGGACCCAACCTTGTGCAGGACCCAGCATTGTGCAGAGCCCAGCATTGTGCAGAGCCCAGCCTTCTACAGGGGTGGGGGTGGGAACCAGCAAGTAGAGCTGAGACAAGAGGTGTGACGTTACGCACGAAGTCCTTAGTACAGTGAGGCAGGTGCTAGCGTCGCCAGCCCTGTTCAGTGGGCGAAGAAAGGGAAGTTAGGAGAGGATGGGACATATTCTTGAGGGGATGTGTTAAAAAACTTAGCTGAAACTCAGACTTGGTCCCCACTTTTCCCCAAGCTCTGCCACTTTGTGAACCTTCCCTGCCCCCTTCTACCCAGCAGGTCGTCTACTGTCTGTCTTATCACACAGGTGGACAAGGTTTGGCTGGGTGCCATTGTCCCGAGCTGCTGGCTCAGGGCTGATCCTTGGAATTTTATGCAAAGCTTTCTTCGCACAAAGGCAGCTGGCCTCTGTGAGAGCGGGCTCTTTTCCTTGTGATGCCTCACTTAGTTCAAAAGGTCTAACCTCTGCCAGTGACCTCAGAGCTGAGAAGTGTGCTGATGGACTGTCTCTGGGGAAGAGCAGAGTGTGTTCAGATGATCTGTTGTGACTGTCCTGAGGCCTTGGCTTCTGGCTTCTGGGTAGCCAGCATTGACCAGGGAGCTGTGTACCTCAGTGGGTACCTGTTGAATAACTGGCTGATAGCATTGTGGCAGAATAATCTGCCCTTGTTGACAGTCCTCTGTGGCCGTGTGGCCCCCACCCCACACTGGCTGACACCTACCTCCCTATAAGAGTTTAAGTCACTCACAAGTTTTAGATGTCAGCGTATTCGGTTGATTAGCCTGCACCGTGCGAAGGTTTAAAAAATTATTTCTGTCACTGGTGAGGCATGTTGTCTCCAGCTGCTGAGACTTCCACCAGCTTGTCTAGGAGTTTGATTCCCTGTCTCATCTTCCTCCTGTGATACACTTGATAGAAAACAAGCAAAAGCAACTGCTGGGGCTGAGGGGCCGAGTGCTGGCAAGTGTTGACAAATACTGGCGCTGTAGACTAATGAGTGTCCCCACACAGGGTAGGTGTGCAGATGCCGCCTCTCTTCAGCCTCAGCACTGCTCAGCGCGCATGCTCTCACATGTACACATGTGTGTTCACACAGGGGTGTGTTAGGGTGGAATCATGGGACATGAAGAGCGAGCTTTGTGTGACCTTGACCGTGCCTGGCTCAACTCGCATCTCCCCTTCCTTCACTGCAGTGTTTGGTGGTGCTAGGGTCACTGAGAGCAGAAGAGGTTTCCTGTGTGAAGTGGACATTAGCAGACAGCGTCCTAGTCAGGGCTTCTGTGCCCTGATAAGACGCCCTAAACAAAAGCAACTTGGAAAGGAAAAGGTTTATTTCAGCCTATGGCTCCATCCGCATCCCAGTCCATCACTGAGGGCAGTAGGGCTGGACTCAAATAGATCAGGGCCTTGGTGATAGGAGCTGAAACAAAGACCGCAAAAGAGAATTACTTATAGCTTGCTCAGCTGCTTGCTTTTCTTTCTTTCTTTCTTTCTTTCTTTCTTTCTTTCTTTCTTTCTTTCTTTCTTCCTTTCTGTCTGTCTGTCTGTCTGTCTGTCTGTCTGTCTTGTTTTGCTTTTAAGACAGGGTCTGTCTGTGCAGCCTTGGCTGTCCTGAAACTTGCTCTGTAGACCAGGCTGGCCTCCAACTCACAGAGATCCACCTGCTTCTGCCTCCCAAGTGCTGGGATTAAAGGTGTGTGCCACCACTGCCTGGCTCTTAGCCTGCTTTCTTATAGCACTCAGAAGCACAGCCCTGGGGTGGCACCACCCAGAGAGGGCTATACCCCCTTACACTCACACATCAGCCATGAAAATACACCTCAGTCTTGCCTACAGGCCAATCTAATGGGTTATTCTTCTCTCTCTCTCTCTCTCTCTCTCTCTCTCTCTCTCTCTCTCTCTCTCTCTCTCTCTCTCTCTCTCTCGCCCTGGCTGTCCTAGACTTGCCCTGTAGACCAGGCTGGACTTGAACTCACAGAGCTGCCAGCCTCTGCCTCCCAAGTGCTGGGATTAAAGGCGTGAGCCATCACACCTGGTTAGGGTCATTTTCTCAACTGAGGAACTTGTTGACATACATGCAGCCAACACACAGTGTCTCCTCTTCTCTTAGAAACAATAGCCTAACCAAATTTGTAATCCTACTTTATGGCCTCCATCTTGGTTGAAAATCCCGTGAAAATCCCACACTTTGTTCTTGCCACCCAGGTGTCTGGGGCTTGGTGGTGGTGGGGGTCTTAGGAATGCAACACTGTCCCCGACTGGCTAGTGCACACTGTCCAAGCTATCCTGCGGTTGCCTTGGGCAAGCATCCAGGAAAGCCGTCCTGTGGAATTTCCACTGAGCAAACAAAGGTTTGCCTTTTGTTTGATCTTCAGTGGTCTGAAAAAAGAGTCTGCTTTTGTTGTTGAACGTCCCCAGTAGAGTCATAGGTGAGAGACATGGCAGCCCAGGAGCCAAGTGTGGGCTCAGTAGGAAGACCCAAGGGTTTAGCCCAAAATAGCAGTAGCTAGCCTTTGTACAGGCTGCTTCCTGCCATGACTGTGGAAGCCATTTCCCGTGCTTCTAATTTTTCCAGGAGAGGAAGAAGCGGGGCGAGAGCAACAATGACCTGTTTCTGGCAGAAGTGTTTTCCTACCAGGGGAAGTTCCACGAGGCTGCCAAACTGTACAAGAGGAGCGGGCATGAGAACCTCGCACTCGACATGTATACTGACCTCTGCATGTTTGAGTACGCCAAGGTAAGCCCACCACATCCTGGGTCCAGCCTGCCACCAGGAGTATCTTAGGTCATGTGTCCAAGCATTGATACAGACAAAAAAGGTGGTGACCTCAGAAAAAGGGTAGGTAGATTAATAAAAGGGGACCTGCAGGGCCCTGGCTGAAACGGAAAGCTGACCCTGAAGGTAGCTGTCAAAGGGACAGCCTGTTCAAGGTACCTGTCAGCATACCAGCATGATGTTACCAGATACTGAGGGCTTAGGACAGTCTCTACAGATTCCTTCAGACCTGGGTCAGGAGCCGCCAAGATTGGTGACAAGCTGGGCCTACCACATCAGTCCTGAGGTACTCTAGACTTTTGAAGGAGCATCCTAGACACATGGACTTTTGTGAGAATGAGCCCCACTAAAGAGCCAGAGCCCTCCACGCATTGCAGCTCAGCCTCCAGCAAGCCCTAAACTTGGGTGTGGAACAGTAAGGCGCTTCCACGGAGGGCTTCTGTATCCCTCCCTGCCTTTCTGGGTAGTGGCAGAAGAGGCTCTCAAAATCCTATTGAGTCCTCAAGTCCTAGCCACAGCTATTCAGTGACTGTTAATGCTAATCTCTTAGCTCATGAGTCCCAGGAAGAACGGCTTCCCCCTTCATCTCTGTCTGTGCCTAACCAATGCTGGGTTCTTTTCCTACCCATCTGTTAGACCGGTGGCTGCTTCATACAGGCATGAACCCCTGGACCATTCCTGGGGCTTCTTCCCTCACACCTCAGGTCTGGGCTCTAGGCTTCCCCTGCCCTTTCATCTTTCTTAGCCCCCTCTAAGTTCCTACCCATATCCATCCAGTACTACATGAATGCTCTTTCCATTGGGGCAAAAGCATTAAACTTAAAAGGCACCAGATCCTAGGGTTAGAATTTGGGCACCAGAGAGCCAGTCATCCCTGGTTGTTGTTTGGGACATTGATGCCTTCCTTGAAGCTGCTGGTGGGCAACTTATGGTACGGCTGAAAATGCCTGCTCAGCATCTGCAGTGCAGTGTGACTCTGGGGTCCATGCCATCCGCAGTGCAGTGTGATTCTGGGGTCCACCATTCACAGTACAGTGCAGTGTGACTGTGGGTTCACATCATTCTCAGTGCAGTGTGACTGTGGGGTCCATGCCATCCGCAGTGCAGTGTGACTGTGGAGTTCACAGCATTCGTAGTGTAGTGTGACTCTGGGGTTCACACCATTCGCAGTGCAGTGTGACTCTGGGGTTTCACTAGTGGGTGAAAACTCACATAGCTCAGCCTTTGCTTCTTTCTCAGCATAGCGTAGCTACAGATCAATGTAGTTCTGAGAACTGCACAGAACAGTGCATAAAACCCTAACATGCTGAGCTGTAGGAGTAGCCAAGCACACACCTTTAATCCCAGCACTCGGGAGGAAGAGGTGGGCAGATCTCTGTGAGTTCAAGGCCAGCCTGGTCTACAGAGTGAATTCTAGGACAGTCAGGACTACATTGGATAGACTCTGTCAGAGAGAACGAGAGGAGAGATATGAGGAGTGTGACTGAATTAAAAGTCCACATCCCGGGATGTGCCTTGGTGGTAGAGCAGGTGCTTAGCATGAGAGAAGCCCCTGTTTAATCTCAGCATTTCATGCAGTCACACACACAAAATTAAAGATTCGAAGAGTAGAAGGGCCACAGATGGCCTCTCCCTGGCCACCCTCCTCCTGCTTTGGCCTCCTTTTTTTTTTTTTTAAGATTTATTTATTCATTTGTTATGTATAGAGTATTCTGCCTGCATGTATGCCTGCAAGTCAGAAGAGGGCACCAGATCTCATTGCGGTTGGCTGTGAGCCACCATGTGGTTGCTGAGAATTGAACTCAGGTCCTCTGGAAGAGCAGCCAGTGCTCTTAACCACTGAGCCATCTCTCCAGCCCCTGCTTTGGTCTCTTCCCATGGTTCACTTGTACTCTGTGCACATGGCCTCCCACCCAGCAGTGCAGCCACTCATACACCCCAATCTGGTGTGGCTCTCTGTGAAGGTAAATACTCGGGGCTTGTTTTGACTCTAATTTTTGATCACAGTTCTGAGTATGTTGGTTTCATCTCACATACACGCACACACACACACACACACACACACACACAACACACACCACCCTGGCTTGCTAGTCTGCATTTGGAAATGTGTGCACACATACACATTGTGTTGGGGGTAGGAGATACTGTGCTTATTAACATGGCATGTTTTTGTTTACTCGAAAATTGCTTCCCAAGATTCAATCTGGTTTTTGGAAAATTTTTAAATTACATTCCCACGTACAAATAAATTGTATGTTTTCCGGACAAGTGACATGTTTATGTGGTGATAAAGGGATTATAATGCTCTTAACTCTGTGTAGTGAGTCCTTATCAGAAGCCCCGAGCCTGAGAACCCCATTCAGTCTCATTCATCACTCAGCACGGCCTCTTTCTGTCCACTCCAGGACAAAGTCTTTGCTGTGGTCCCAGATAACATGTAAATTGGCTTCAGAGACCCAAAAGGCCTTTGAAAACCCACTTGGTTGAGCTTTGGAGGAACTCTTTAGACTCAGCTTGAATTAAGTCACAGCCTCTAAGTTGACTGCTGGGATTGAGGAGGTGTGCCTCCTGTCAGGGAGGTTGTACAAGCTGTGTACCCGCATGGTCTTCTTGGGGAGACATCTCACATTGTAGCCCCTCTTAGCTTTTGACCTTTCCCTTTGCTATCTCACTGAGCCCTGGCTTGCCAGAGTCCCTCTGAAGGACACGTCTCTGCTTTCACAACACCTGTGTCTGCTGCTAACCTCAGGCAGCTAGCTGGGCGGGACAGCTCTGTGTACATGAAGAGCTGATGTCATCACAGTGCCGAGAGGAAAGTGTGTCTATAATGGCCCAAGCCAGGTACCCTTTCGTGGCTGGTCCCTAGCCCTTTCTCTGTGTGCCCCAAGGGGAGGCAGAGGCCAGCATTAGGTGACCCTGTCTTTACTTGGTCCTTGACAGGTAAAATGATACCCTTCCTGAATTATTTGGTTGTCTTAGGCCAACCTAATATATGGTTTTAGGGTCTACGTATTACCCTAAAAGCAAATGGAAAAAGAAATGAGCTAATTGTTCAAGTGGGTCTCAGCATACATTGCCTGCACTTTCCTGACAGATGAGTGTTAATTGTGAGGAAAGGAGTGCTTTTTTTGTACTTTGTGAGGTTGGCACAGAGCACTCTATGCAGGGTACATTCTCTGAAGACAAACCACTCCTCACTAGCAATGCAGATCTGGGTTTCTTGCCTCTCAATTTCCCCTTTTGAAAAGCCCCACCTTAAAAAATGTCAGCACTGAGGCAGCTTCAATAGTGGCAGCACTGTCCTGAAAAGAGGTGATATTCTGAGGCTGTTTCTGCTGTATTTGGGGGATAACCCGGGGGAGCTGGTCATGGCCCTCAGGGACCACCCCCACATGGGGTAAAGGAACTCAGACCTTGCCCAACCCCTGAATCTTTAGACTATTTCTTTCATCTGTGGCTCCTGCTGTCCCTCCATGGGCCATATTCCTACTTGTGCAGTCCTGATCTCAAGACAAGATCTGGTGTCACTCAGTTCAGAAGTGGACAGCACTGGGAGGCAGAGGCAGGCAGATCTCTATGAGTTCAAGGCCAGTCTAGTCTATATAGCAAGTTCTAGGCCAGCCAGACTGTGTTTGGGAGAAGAAGAAAAAAGGAGGAGGAGGAATGAACCAGAGTGTTTTGCTGGTTGTCTGCCATAGACATATCTCAGGAGCAAAGCCAACAGAATGATCTGAGTTTAGGCCACAGAGCAATTGAGAAAAGACACGATGCCACTTCAGTGTGGCAGCCAAAGGAGGGCACAAGGGACTAATCCCAGAGCTCTGTGCATCATTGTGCGTTTAAGTTTAGAGGACCATGTGCTCAGTACTGGTCTGGGGCCTCTGCTGTCATCCCAGGGTGTGACTAGTGACGGCAGAACTAGTATTTATAGTTTCGCAGCCATTCGCGTTTCTGTCAAATTGTGTGGAGGTCGCGGAGTAATCGCAGTCCGTCAGGTGTTTAGAACAGGTGTGAAGGGAAGGAAACATGGAGGCCGCAGTTCCCGACACGTCCCTGTGGCCCCAGCAGCACTTGTGGGTGGTCCATGCACACTCCCTTCCTGGACACCTGGGACTGCCCCGCTCAATCGCATCCTGCTCCTGTGCACAGCCACGTGGAGCTCTTCCCTGCGCTGCTTTCAGGAGCTGATGTAATGCTGGCACAGGAAGTCCTAATCCGGAGTGTTTTTGTTTGTTGTGCTTCCTCAGGATTTCCTTGGATCTGGAGACCCTAAAGAAACAAAGATGCTCATCACCAAGCAGGCCGACTGGGCGAGAAACATCAACGAGCCCAAAGCTGCGGTGGAGATGTACATCTCAGCGGGGGAGCACACCAAGGCCATAGAGATCAGCGGCAGCCATGGCTGGGTTGACATGTACGTTTCAGCCCCTGCCTCGGAGCTCTTGGCAGTGTGTCAACTCTGAGTTTTGATTGACAAGGGAAAAACTGTTTCTCTAAATATCTGAACCAAACATGTAAGTGACTAGGCTCTCTGGAAGAGGAAGAGATTGAACAAGGTAGCACTGCCTTCGAGAAGCTTGAAGAGTGGGTAGTAGGGACCTAGGGACACACACAGATGTCCCTCAGGTACTGTGTTGACCTTATAGGCATCTGACTCTCCCTGGCACCAAATCGGTATCTCTACGTTCATCTAGCAAATGAGGAAATGAAGGCAGAAGGGACTCTTGTGTCCTCAAAGGCCAAGCATTTGGCGAGTCGTAGGGCTAAGCTTCAGACTCTGACATGGGTGGTTTCAGTACCCCTAACACTGAGCATGAGAGTTCTGAGTGTACAGAAGAGCCCTCTGTCCATCAGGGAAGGGGACTATCTGGAAGGAACCAGGGTGTCTTTCTTTTCTTGAGTCCTTCCATAAAGAGACAATTAGAAGGAAAACTAATATAGGCAAGGGACCAGTAGGCCAGCAGGGACTGCGGTGGCTTGAAGCCCCAAGGGAGAGTAGAGGAGCTGTAACAGAGGAATAGAAGCTAGCTAGATTCAAGGGAATGGAGGAAGGGGAACAGGCCGGAACTGTAACTACATAACTATGTGACACGTGATGCTTCCGTCTTAGGACTTGGCACCCACCCTCCAGGTGCCTTCTCAGAAGACTATGCTAAAGGCCACTCTGGTTGTTCAGGTGGCAACAGTGTGGTCCACAGATAGAAGCCAGTGGCATAGTTAGGCCCTGAGGAGGACAACAGGTTGGTGTGTGGGCCCTTCACCAGGGGACCTTGTGGGTAACCTACCCCCAACCTTTCTTCCCTTGTCTAGGAACAGTATCTCAAAGATGCAGGCTTAGATCTTAGACTCTGCCCCAAGTATTCTCTACAAAAAGGGTGATGCTGATGGGAGCCAAGCAGGCTTATGGCCTCTACTTCCCCCACTAGTTTCTCATATGTCACTTTGATTTGCAAGTGCTATGTATTAAGTTCCCCTGGGGACACTTAACTAGCTCAAGGAAGACACATTAGTGTGTTCTGTCCCTCTTCTGGGTCTGGCTGTAACAGGCACCTTTCCCCTAGGAATGCTGGTTTGGTGGGTGGGGCTCTTGGGCTCTGGGGGGCTGCCTGTTCTACCTTTCCCTAAAAACACGTCCTTTTGCTACTGAGCAGTGTTATTTTTAGATGCCATTATTATTCTGAGCGCAGACTGACAGGCCTCCCTGAGCCCGCCTGTCTGAAATTCGGTTTTGTTACAGCCTCTTCTGTTCTCACACAAAGCAGGCTGGGCAGAGCCCTCTCCCTGAGAGCTGCTTTACTGGGCTGCCTAGTCCCCAGACCACTAAATCCAGCACACGCCCTGATGGGTAGGAGGAGGACCGGTCACTATGGGAAGACATGAGTGACTTGGGGACCTCCCTACAGTCAACACATTAGCCACGAGGACCCTGCCAGGGCTTCTAATCTTCCTTCTGGCCCAGGACAAGCTTCACACTTGCCACTTCCTCCAGAGTGTCAGTTGCTGAGACAGTCTCATGCCCCAGCAGCTGCTTTTCCTGTGGGAATTCCTGACAGTGCTGGAACAAGCCCTCCGCCACTTCCTGCTGTGGAGTCTTGGGTACAGGGCTTCCCCTCTGTGTAGGTCAAACTCGAGCCAGCTCACTGCAAAGTGGGGTGCTTATATGCTTATACCTCCCTCTCAGGGCAGGAAAGTGATTCTGTGAGACCACATCTGGAAGGTCCCATGGGTCCTTCTCGACATCTGGCAGAGGATCCCCAGATGTCACTGGTAAGAGGCATGTGAGGTATGGGTAGTGTCTTGAGTGGCAGCTACTCTTGGACCCTGTCATTGCTTCTGGAGTGTGCATCCATTCTTCTTATAACTGCCTATGAGTTATGAGACCCCAGGAGCTAACAGCTCCATTGTTAGCGTGGTGCATAGCAGGAACCGGCCCAGAGCCTCCCACCTCGTCCTCCCTCAGATCCTCACAGGTGTCCTCCCTTCCTTTCCAGGTTGATTGACATTGCTCGAAAGCTGGACAAGGCTGAGCGGGAGCCCCTGCTCATGTGTGCTCGGTACTTCAAGAAGCTGGACAGTCCTGGCTATGCTGCCGAGACCTACCTAAAGGTCGGTGACCTCAAGTCTCTGGTGCAGCTGTATGTGGACACCAAGCGCTGGGACGAGGTGAGAGAGCGAGTGCACTCACTGGGTTGGGACTCTTAAGTGAGCCCCTGGCTGCAGGCCAGTGAGTACTGAGCGGCTGGGGCTAGGATGGAGAGAAGCGACCCTCAGAAGAGAAGGGCCGTTGCCTGACAGTCAGGTTTTTCCTCAAAGTCCTTGAGCCAAAATGTCTTGGAGGGCCTTTTCACCATAACTTCCCATTTGCTCTTACATTCATTCACTCAGTCAGAAAACTGTGACTGGCTGCCTTCTCTGGGCCAGCCCTGTGACAGGCACTAGGGCTGTGAGGATCAGTGTGAGGAGCTCCAGTACCTGCTGCTGGCCTGAGCCATCTCTCACCAGCTCTACAGTCTCGGGCTCACCTCTGAAGCAGGGACACACAGAATGGCATTTAAAACCTGTATGGCATTTGGCAGAAAATGCCAACCATGTATTTCAGGTACAAGCTAGCAGAACTGTTTCAAGGGCAGCTGTCCCTGCCCTTGCCCCTCTTCCCAGTCATGGCTCCCGTGGGATGAGAGGATCAGTAAGGAGAATGAGCCAGGCTGTCCTAGAGCCAAGGCTGGCGAGGCAGCCAGGGCAGAGCGTCTCTGTGTCTGTGCCCTGGAGAATGTCACCTGGAGAGATTAGTGGTGTCTCTTATGGAGCACAGCAAGGCTCTACCTGAGTTAGAGCAGCCTGCCTCCTGCCTGTCCTCCGAGTGGCTCCATTTCCTGAGGGGACAGGCTGGGATGAAGCAGTAATGGCTCCTCGAGATAAATGTTACTCGGCAGCAGCATTAGCTCATCTTAGCCCTCCCGTGCTCCTCTGCTGCTCTCCTGGCCTGGCAGGTGGTTTGGGCTTTAATGAAGTCGTCACCGGGTCCCATAGAGCACTGTGTCCGCAGTCCCCTGACAGCGAGTAAGCAGCGATGGAGATAATGTCAATCCAGTTTCCTTAGGTGTCGCCTGCAATTAAAAGAAATCTGTTTGCAGCGCTACGGGAGCCCACGCAAACCCTCAAAATAAAATGTTTCCGATTCTGTGCTGCTTCTGTGGTCCAGAAACAGACTGTGTTGTTATTGAATCCAGTCGGTTGCATATTGCCGTTAATTGCCTTTTGTTTTCAGAGAGCTGGTTTGTTTTTGTGTTGCTGGGGGTGGTTGGAGGGGGAGACACTCTCCCCCTCTGAGTTGTCAGGCTGGCAAAATATGACATCCCTAACAGATTCAGTCAAGTGCCACATTTTCAGGGGCTGCGGGGGCCGCTTCATTAAGAATGCCTCAACTCCTCCCTCTAGGCCTTTGCTTTGGGTGAGAAGCACCCTGAGTTCAAGGATGACATCTACGTGCCCTATGCGCAGTGGCTAGCAGAGAATGACCGCTTTGAGGAAGCCCAGAAAGGTAGGCCACACAGACTGCACTGTGTAGAAGGGGTGGGGAGGGCTGCTGAGATTTGGGACAGAGGCTGCCTAGCCCCTCCCTCAGCAGGTCCCAGGACAGGTGCCTTCATCCTGGCTCAGGATGTGTTTGCTGGTGAGACTTCAGAACAAGGACATGAATGGTGAAGCCACGCCCCCTGGGCCCGTTGCTTCTCTGTCCAGTGCCCCAGACAGGCCCTAGATCTTTAGCAGTTTTCTGTTAACTTGCACAGCGCCCGCATTCCAGTGTGCCTTCCCTTCAGTCTTAAGGTTGCTCTCTGGTATGGGCAACAGTGTTAATTACATTGTGTGGATGAGGGAGCTGAGGATGAAGGAGGCAAAGGCATTTGCCTGTAGTCCACTAGCTGGGAAGCTGCAGAGGGCATGAGCCAAAGGATCCGTAGTCAGGACAAAAGAGAGAACTGCCCTTAGTGGTGGGCATAGTATCACCTTCCTTTTCCTCTACCGAGATAGAAACGGACTGTGATTCTGGCTCAGGCAAGCCAAGCAATCTCTCTGCCCCTTGGTGCTTCTGTTGGTGAAATGAGCCATACCAGGGTGTGAGGGCATCTGAAATAGAGGCCAAAGCAAGCATGGCACATTAACTGATAACGCTCATCATTGGTTAGCCATGTGACTGCCTTCACTGTGGCAGGTGCTAGCTGGGCACTTAACCTGCATAACCTTGAATCTTGCCAACAGCCCTGCTGAGACGCAGAGGCTACATGTGCTAGCGAGCGGCAGAGCCGGAATTGGATCGGGATCTGTCCAACTGGGAGCCTAATTCTTACGCCTGTTTAGAAAGTCTCCTAATTGAAGTGGGTGGGCCGTATTCCATAGCATCTCATTTACACTTCTATATGGTAGCAGTTGCCACCTCCTGACACACTGCAGAACAAATGTCCCCCTGTTGGAGCTCCGGGGTTAAGAGCCCCTGTGAAGGACAGCATGTTCTCTACCCCTCAGCATTTCCAGAGCACCCAGTTGCTGAAGTATCTGCATGTTTGGGCAAAACACATCAACCTATCCATCTGTCTGTGTCGCCCTTCCAAGAATCCATCGCCATAGTAACTTGGTACTCAGACAAGAGACGGGAGATGAGAACGAACCAAGGCCAGACCTTTTCCTTCTCTGCAGACGGAGGATATGGGTCATAAGGATGCCCACGCGTGTGCAGGTGTCAGAGGTCCTAGTCTTTCTCTGGCAGACCCAGGGTCCCCAGAAGTTGGTCACATGGTAGTGAGGGGCCCAGGAAATTTCTGTTAAACAGACATAGGCATGATTGAGAAATTCTTCACTTGTTTTCACAAATGTCTGGGTTGTGAGCTGAGCCAGATCTTTCAAGGTTGGTATCTGAAAGTGCACAGCTAACGACGGGTTCAGAACTGGACTGACTTCTCTTCCCTGACCAGAGCATGATGCTCTGCCCCTACCTGCCAAAGCCCATCATATTCTTTAGAAAGGGGCTGGTTTTCTTCTTTAGAAGTTTGTCCTGAGGATTTAATGGAGTAATCAACAGTGGAGGTGTTTTGTGAACCACAGAGTAGCAGGTCCTGCTAGTACTACCTAAGAGTTTCAGAGTCTCATTCTCTGTGGGCATTGCCAGGCTTTGGTGCCTCAGGTTTTCTCTCTGCCGTGCCTTGCTAAAGTAGGTTGCCATTTCCCAGCCAAAAGGAGTGTATCTCCCTGTGCTTATTTCAGGATGTAGCCTTGGTTATTTATAGCCTGAGGCCTGAGAGGCGCATCTCAGCAACCAGGCACCACAGATGCTGCAACGAGTGGCCTGCCTCCCCAGCAGTCATGTAAGCCCCACACAGTCTCCCTGCTTTATGTCTGACTCCCCGTGACATGCATATGCTTTCGTGGCCCTAGCATTCCACAAGGCCGGGAGGCAAGGGGAAGCAGTTCGCGTGCTGGAGCAGCTCACGCACAATGCCGTGGTGGAGAGCAGGTTTAACGACGCTGCCTATTATTACTGGATGCTGTCCATGCAGTGCCTCGACATGGCGCAAGGTGAGTGAGTGACAGCCGGCTGGCCTCTTCCCTGGCCCCTCTCTGGCACCAGATAAAATCAGAAGAGCAGGGCTGTTTCATTAAAGCCCTGGGCTTGTTTATTGAGTGTGTTGTTCCTGAGCACGCTTTGCAGCGCCACAATCTGGCCTGTCATCTCTTTCAAGTTTGCCTGTAAGTAGGACTGGCTGGCAGTCTGTCTTCTGGGTGGGAGGTCCCACCCTGCATTGCTAATTCAGAGCATCTCCTTCTCTTGCTACCTGGGAGCCTGGAGCTGGGCCCACATGAGCCCTGGCTTTAAAAAAATTTTTAATTAAATGAAAAGATGAAGAGATCACCTTACAATAACCTACTCCAGAGTCTCCCTCATCCCAGGCAGGAGGACAGTTTCAGAGTCGCTTTCGGTGGTTTCCCATGGTGCCCTGAGGCATTCTGAAGTGGAGGGGAGGGAGGTAACTGTGCCCAAGGCTGTGTGTGGTGGTGAGAAGAGCGCTGGAGACAGAGTCTGCAGGGTGGCAGTGCCTTCCTTAACGCCCAGCCCCATGCCGCTTCCTTCAGGTCACCCTGAGGCACAGCTGTCAGCTCCCAGTCAGAACATCAGGCCCAGGTGTGAGCTGGGGTTTTTCTGTCCTGGCCCTTGATGTGCACTTCAGATAAATAGCTGACAAGCAGAGGTGCAACATGGACACAGCCAGCCAGTGAAGGCGCCATCTGCCCACCCTTGTCCTGCCAGGCTCCTCTGGTGTGCCTGGGCTGGGAGGCTTCTCTACTGCTGGACGTAGCAGGTGCTGACCCAGTGGACAGAGCTGGGAGGGTACAGTGTGTGGCCTGGGAGAGGTCTGTCTTCAGGTGCTTCCTGGCCTGGAGCTCTGCCCAGCCAAGATTCTTATCCTAGATAAGATGGATCACTCTTAAGCGAGCACCTGTCCATCACTGCCCTCTGGGCCCCTCTGAGCAGCATAGGAAGAAGCAATACTGTTTGACACATTTCCCCCTCCTCCCCTCCCATCCTCCTCTCCTTCTGCCCTCCCCCCTTCTCCTCCTCCTCTCCTCTGCTCCTGCCCGCCTCCCCTTTTTCCCCTCCTTTCTCCTCTCCTGTCCTCTCCTCTCCTCTCCCCTCCTCTCCCCTCCCCTCCTCCCCTCCTCCCCGCCCCTCTTCTCTCCTTCTCATCTCCTCCTCTGCTCCCCTCCTCCCTCCCAGCAGATCCTGCCCAGAAGGATGTGATGCTTGACAAATTCCACCATTTCCAGCACCTGGCGGAGCTGTACCATGGCTACCAAACCATTCATCGTTACATGGTAAGGTGGCTGGGGGACTGAGGGATGGGTGCCTTGGGCCTCACATGCTCAGCAAGGGCCTCTGAAGAGAAGGGTCTGGAGATGTGGTGAGTGCCCAGAAACCCTGCTTTCCTTGGCAAGTGCAGGTGCTTCTCCATCACCTGCCACTTCTTTGACATGAAGCAAACCTTGGGAGTCAGAGTTACAGTCCAGAGCTGGGACCGGCCATTCCAGTTTCTAGCTCAGCCTTGAAGCCTGTCTAGATAAGTGAAGGCTCAAGCTCTCTCTCTGGCCCTCAGTTTCCTCCATAAAACGAGAGGGTTGCCCTGATCTCCAAACACCCACAATTGGTTGAGGTCCTTCCCTTATTCTTGTGATGAGGCCAGGTTGAATGAGTCGCCATCTGCCTCATCCCATGCCTCCTCAGCACGCCAGTCTTGATTAACCCACGGTGTGAGCGTATTCTGTGGCAGCAGCTGGGCCACACCAGTGACCCCTGTCTGAGTCCCTGCTCGGTGTTGGACACGGTAGCTGTCATCGTGCACGCCCTTCGATCTTCAGCCACACGTGACATAAGTATATCCCTCTTCTGCAGATGCAGAAGCCCAGGTGCCACACAGAGAAGAGCCGCCATTAGCAATGGCAGAGCCTGGGCTAGAGTCCTTACTGAATGCCTCTGCGTTCTCAGCCTCTGGGATGTAGGTTCAGAAGTGACTCTGGATGCCTCATGTTCTTCTGGATTTGTGTGACTGTGGCAAGTCCCGCACCTTCTCTGTACCCATGTCAATGGAATGGAGATGCTAGACAGGGTGTCTGAGAGGACTCTGAGTTTACTTGGGAAATGTGGCTTTGGTTCCTGAATTCCCAGTGTCCCTGCTTCTCTGTGTCTATGCAGGAGTCACCTCACCTAACAGCTGGGCTCTGTTCATGATGCACACAGTGCTGGGCTAGGGCCACACTTGGGACCCAGGCTGGCCTCCAGGCCAAAACTGCTTTCTTGGGCTATTCCTCCAACCAGTGCCTGCATGTGGCAGTCCCTGTGATGAGGCCTGGAACACAGTGGTGAGCAAGACATAGTCTCTGCCATAAGGAACTCACAGTGTAGTAAGCAGCACAGCGTCTCAAGGGAAAAGCTCTGAGGAGGCTCTTTGTAGAGGTGGTCCCGCCACCAAGGAGGGGGCAAGTGAAGAGGAGCAGGGGGAAGAGTTTGTGGAAGGCAGGCTGTGGCCAGGGCAGTTGAGGACTGGCACTGGGCCATGCAACCCTGGGTGAGAAAGGATCATAAGATGGCAAAGAGAAACACAGACCCTTAGAGGCTCAGGGCTTCCTTCCCAGAGAAGCAGCGCTGATCTGGACGGTTGCTCACCTAGTGCCTGGCTCCTCACGCTCACGCCCAGGAGAGCATGTGTCTTGGGTTTCCCCTCCACTCCTGGAGCCGACAGAAGCTACAGAAATGTAAGTGGGTAAAGCAGTATGGTAGCACATGCCTGAATCCCAGCACTCAGGAGGTGGAGGCAGCACGATCATCCTTTCTCAAAATATAACCAAACAGAAAGGAGGGGGTGGAGGGAAAAAAGAAAATAGGAAGAAAGAAATGTAATTAGGAATTCAGAAGCTGCTGGAGAGAAGTCGTGAAGAGAAGTCCCTGGACAGAAGTCACTGGGCTCTGAACCAAAGAAGTAGGAAACCACTTCTCACAGATCTGGGCCTCATCAAAGCCGAGCCTGGTGGCTGTAATGGGAGAGCCTAGTCAGACCCTTAGGGAGAGCTCTGGGGGAAGGGGAGCTGGCCAGCCTGTCACTATCTGAAGTGTGGTTTGTGCTTGTAGCTGGATGGCAGTGTCAGCCTCCCTCAAGCAGGTCTTCGCCGTGCACAAGCCCTGTGGAGAGAATCTCCCTGATGACATGGCTGTACTGGCACCCCTGCGAGCAGGAGGTCTGGTCACTCCACCAGTGGTCATGGAGACTACCTGTTAGAGCCTGGGCCAGCCTGGGCACCGCGGGCATTTGGTGGCACATTGCAGCTGTTGAGGAACAAAGAAGAGGTTCCCTGTGTCCTGCAGGAAGGGTTAAGCATCCCACTAAGTCATGCCCTCACTCCCATAAAGGTCTTGAGCTCAGGAAACTCAGGGACACTGCAACTGGGAGAATAACATTCTCTGGGGTTGGGGGTTAAGTTCTAGGTTCGAATCTCATCTCTCTCCCATTCTGGCGGGTGACGTGGGCTGACCTTTGGTAGGGCATCACTTCCCTCCCTGGTACAATGTGACTGAAACTGCATAGCCCACAAGCTTGTGTTAATGCTGTGGGGCCAACCGCAATGGGCTGCACACAGTAGGTGCTCAGAGTGCCCTCCTCCCAGTGGGGATGTTACTCCCTTTCTTTTGCTGCAGGAGGAGCCGTTCAGCTTCGATCTCCCCGAAACCCTCTTCAACATCTCCAAGTTCTTGCTGCACAGCCTGACCAAGGCCACCCCCTTGGGCATCTCCAAAGTGTATCCTCCCCACCAGCCTCCCAGCCCTCTGTCTAATGGCCCCGCTTCTCCACAGAGCACTTAACTGGCAGAAGCGACCTCCCTCCGCAGCCACTGGGGAGTGGGGAGAGGCTCAGCTGGGCAGCTGAGCGGCCAGTGGCAAGGGGAGATTTAGCTTTCAGGGCTGACTAGCGGCCCCTGGCCTGTGAGTCTGGCCAGCACCTTGTCCCAGGCCTCCCAGAACTCACAAAGAAGGATGGGGCTGGGACCAGGAAGCCCAGGCAGGTCTTTCTGCTGGAATCAGGGGCCATGTCAGCCCAAGTGACAAAGCTGCCATCTAGTAGAGGTGGTGACAAGAGACAAGACCTGTTTCAGAGTACACTGTGCCCACAAGTAAAATGGAGGTAAGGCCTAGTCAGAGGCAGCTGCCCAGAGGAGGTGACTAAGGCGGCGGGGAAGACTATCGAGAGGGTAGGTGGTGTAGAGAGGTGGGTATGGACAGGCCCAGCTCCTGTGTGGGGTGCTGCTAGTCTCTGTGAGTCTGCTTCTCCACTGCCAAGGAGAGCTGCAGAGGGGAAATAGTCCAGCCTTTCTCACGTCAGCTCCCTGCCCTCTTCTGGCTGGCCCACCTACCTCCTGTAGGAGCCCTTCCCAGAAAAGCACCCTCAGCTCCCTGTTCGGAACCCATTTCCTGGAGGGTCCAGACTCATTGTTTACTTCAGGGGAAACGTCCCAAACAAATGGCCTTCACTGTGACAACCCCTTTAGCTGGCAGGTCAGGCTCACCACAGGCGCCACAGCCACTCCCGCTACCTCAGTACCTGAATCTAACTTGTCTTGAAATTTGTTGATCCAGCATCTTGTTAACTTGAGTGCTGAGCCTTCCCTGGTGCTGTCCAGTAGAAACACAGAAGCGGCTGCTGACACGGTCTGTGACGTGGAGGCATTAGAGTGGAACAAACAGGGAGATCCGCACCTCAGGTTGCTGGAACGATGTTGGGTCCCGCTGAGGAGAGTGAGGGCCATGCGACTTGGGGTGCCAGGGACAGCTGCTTTCCAGGGAGACAGGGAGGATGAGGAGGGCTTGGGCACAGCCAGAATTAGAGGTGACCTCACGTGGCATGCAGAGGTTTGTTGTCCTCCGATGAGGGGCTCAGAGGGACCCCAGAGAGCAGGGGAGTTTTCAGTGCTGTGTGACCCCTCTGAGGCAGTCTACACCAGCTAGTAGGGCTAGGGCAGGGGACCACTTGGTGCCAGGAGGCCCAAGAATCTTAAGTCAGGTTATGGCTGTTACCTCAGTACCAAAAGATTGAGGCTGGCCTAGGCTACATAGTGAGACCATGATACCCCTTCCCCCTGTTAAAAAAAAAAAAAAAAGAGGCCAAAAAGACCCTGTAGTACTTTTGTCTATTCCCGGGCCTTGCCATCCTAGAGATACAGATCTCAAAATGAACAAATATCTCTTCGGTTCCTGACTGTGGTCTGCTACCAACACAAGATGCCCAGGGTGGGTGGTATTGGCTCCCGGTCACAGTTCTGCTGTCCTTAACCTTGCCGATGTCAGGAATACCCTCTTCACACTGGCCAAGCAGAGCAAGGCCCTGGGTGCCTACAAGCTGGCCCGTCACGCCTATGACAAGCTTCGGGGGCTGCAGATCCCCGCCAGGATCCAGAAGTCCATTGAACTGGGCACCCTGACCATCCGCTCCAAGCCTTTCCACGACAGTGAGGTGAGGGTGTGCCTTTGAGCCTGGTCTTGGTTCTGTTTGAAAGATGGCTGCTGTGTTCTTGGGGCTTCCCGCCCGAGTGCTGGCTTGTCCCCTCCTGCTTAGCTGTCCTCTGCCCCCTGCTCTCCGTTTAGCCTGCTGTGTTTCAACCCTTTATGCCTAGAGACTGTCTCTTCCCTCAAGCCTTGTTCAGGGCTGATGCCCTTCCTGGGTGTCCCTGTGCTCCCCAGGCCCCATCAACACCCCAGATCTATAGAGTCCTGATTTTAAGCTCAAGCAGGAACTTGTCATCAATAGGCCTGGGTTCTGATCCTAGGTCTACCGCTTCCAAGCTGTGCCTCAGGCTTCCAGTACCTCAGTTGGCTACCTGTCGGGTGGGTGTTTATAGACCTTTCCCCACAGGTGGCAGGATAAAAAATGTGCCTGACAGTGCCTAGAACCTGGGGTGGCAGGAAGTGACAGTGGATGCAGTTGCTCCCATGAAGACAGTGTCCTGCTGAGGTCTGGGTTAGTGGGCTTCAGGTGTGGGCTTCAGGTGTGTCTGTAGCCTTGGCCAGCCTCCCCACAGCACACGGTCCTTTGCCCTGGGAGGAAATGGCCGGATGTGTACTTCTGGTTCAGTCTGGGCAGACATGAGCTTGTTTTGTAGGAACTGGTGCCCTTGTGCTACCGCTGTTCCACCAACAACCCGCTGCTGAACAACCTGGGCAACGTGTGCATCAACTGCCGCCAGCCATTTATCTTCTCCGCCTCGTCCTATGGTGAGGCACGCCGTTGCTTAAAGGCATGTGACATTGTGCACAAGGAGCTGCCACCATGCCCTACATACAGAATTGCTGTCAGGATCCACAGAGACAGGACACAGCATGTCCCCATCCAAAAGTCCCACTCTTATTATAATGCCAAGCTGGGGTCCAGTGTTCAGTCTGGGAGACCAGTAGGCGCTGTCCTGGCCTCCGTCCTTCAAAGCAGCTGCTATGGGAGGGCTTACTGGAGGCCTGGTCCTCCTCTCCCATGGGGAGGGGGCATCTCTGACCATTCCACCTGCTCACACACTGTCTGGGGTGATAGTCCCAAGCTCCCCTGAGGTCATCCTCCAGTCCCTTCCTGTCCCCCCAGAGATGCTGCACCTGGTGGAATTCTACCTGGAAGAGGGAATCACTGATGAAGAAGCTGTTGCCCTCATCGACCTGGAGGCCCCAAGACACAAGAGGGAGGGCAAATGGCAGGAGATTGCAAACAACAGTATCCTGTGCTCTGGGCTGAGCAGGGCAGGGTCTCAGCATGGGCTATGCCCACAGGTAGGGATAGAAGGAATAGATCCAGAAAGACTGGGGAAGTCCCCACGTAGTGAGGACTGACATCAGAGGTGGGTAGAGAGTTGGCCAGAGCCTGCAGGCACATGAAAGTGGCATCTTCGTCTTCCTGTGAGGTCCCCTACCCTGCTCCTAAAGGCACCCATCTGTGTCTGGTCCACAGCTAAGCAGAAGATGTAGTGTGTGTCCTTGAGGGACCCCAGCTTTCGACTCGGGTAGCCTTTTCATGCAGTGATAGCAATCACTACTCAGGCTGAAGCTCCTGGGTGTCACCCCATTCTCGTGGGTGACAGGAGGCCTCTCGCTCTCTGGTTCTACTGTCCAAGTGCTTCATCCTTAGGTAGTTAGAGAGATGGCCACCAGTAGTGTGGCTGAGGACCCAGGACAGCTTGGTGCTACTCACTGGAATCGTTGACCACACCTGACCAATCCCTACATGCGGCTCTCCTGCCTGTACCAACGGGCAGAGGGAAGGCTGGTGGAACTGGGTTCTGTGAGAGTTTTTGCCCTTCACTCTATGGCTGTGACTGCTGAGTTTCTCAAGCTGCACTGGGCCTGTCTCCACCCATTCAGGGCCCTTGAATGGCCCCTCCCTGCAGCCATCCTGTGACTAGAGGACAGGGGAAGCAGATGATCCCACTGGGGCCCCTTCTCTCTCTGGCCTGTGCCCTCCTCCCCATCTTCCACCTGGAGGCCTGTCCCAGCCACTGTACCACTCCCCAAGTCTGTGAGGGGGAAGACCTGACCTAGCCCCTGGAAGTGAATGTGGGCTGGAGGGTGGTGCCTGGGCCTCCCTGGGCCTCCAGCTCCATCCTTGACCAGAACCCTCCAGACTCCCAGACGCTGAGACTGGATGAGGCTATGGATGCCATAGGAGACGATGACCCGTTCACAGCCAAGCTGAGCTTTGAGGTGAGATGCCTCAAGAGTAGAAGGTGCGGAGAGGCCTGGTGGAGAGCCATCAGTACTTTCCCCAGACACTCAGGGTCCCTCAGTTAGTGTGGCAGTGGGAAAGAGAGCTGGACAGCTTCCTGTGGTGACTGGGTGGTTCCGAGGCCGCTTCAGGGCTGCCGTGGGGAGAATGTCTCTGTCAGGGATGCCTGGAGTTGAGATGTGGTGATGTCCCTTTGGCCACCAAGGATCCTGGGATCAGGCCAAGGGTGTAACACCCATGTACATCTTCCTTACAGCAAGGTGGCTCTGAGTTCGTGCCTGTGGTGGTGAACCGGTCAGTGCTGCGCTCCATGAGCCGAAGGGACGTTCTCATCAAGCGCTGGCCCCCGCCGCTGCAGTGGCAGTACTTCCGCTCACTGCTGCCCGATGTCTCCATCACCATGTGCCCCTCCTGCTTTCAGGTACCAGCCTCCCACTGGCTGTTTCTCCTGCTGGGCGTGTAGGGGAGGATCATGAGCTGGCCACAGCCTGCCCCTGCAGCGAGCTTCACCCGGTTCCGGCTCAGCACCGCCCTGAATGAGGGATGAAGTACCTGTGAAATTCATTCAGGATAAAGAGCCCTCCAGTCCTCAGGCCAGCACACTGCAGTTCTGCTGTGGCTGGCAACAACTCACTACTTAGCCGCTTCCCCTCAGGGCAACATATCCCGGCCCAGGCTCAGGGTTTACGGGGCACCTGTCCTGCTTCCCTGTGTCATGGGCTGTCTCTCCTCAGATGTTCCATTCGGAGGACTACGAGCTGCTGGTTCTCCAGCATGCCTGCTGCCCCTACTGCCGGAGACGCATTGACGATGCTGGCCCGTGAGCACGGCTGGCCTCAGGGACAACCTGCTCCCCAGACTGTCGGGAGAAAGAATTAAACCTTCAGAACATGTCTCCTGCCCAGATGAAGTTTGTATGCTGGGGAGGGCCCTTGCCTCGTGTAACCACGGGTTTCCTATTTATGGCATTCCGTGCCTTGTAAATAGTGCCAGGAGATGGAGAAGGTACGTACATATATTTTCTAAGAAAAAAAAATCTGTTACTTTTAGAAGGGCTCAAGTGTTCACGGCAGCCTGCTGGAGCCCACAGATCTGTCAGCCCGTTACTGTGTGCACTTAGCCAACAGATTGCCCCAATAACGACAAATAAAAGGGCTGCTCGTTTCCATCAGCGTCTGCGTCTCAGAAACCCTCATATTGTCTGCAACTTAATTTCCTTATGCAAAAGTGCACCTGTTTCTAATTTGATCTGAAAGGAACATTGCTTTCGCGTGCTCTTAAAAACGTAATCTAATGAGAAGACAGCATGGGAAGGGGCGGGGACATGGGTGTTTTGTTGTTGTTTATTCATTTCGTTTCAACGAGGATCCATTTTGACAAGAAGATACCCGGCTCCAAAGAATAGTCTTGTCCTTGGAGCTGCCCTGGAGACCAGTCATGGGGTCCGCTTCCACAGGGTGCTCAGCCTCGTGGCTCCTTCCCTTCCTTCTAGGGCATGAAGCTGGAGGTTCTAGCTGGGATCCGTAGGGTGTTGTGGGAAGGAGAACTCACACACATGGGGTACCTCTGCAGCCGCAGCCCCCATGCTGGCCATCATCAGAAGAGCAGCAGGTGATAGGGCCCTCGGGCTTCCAGCCATGAGTGGGCACCTAGAGGTGTAATCTCGGAAGTCCTCCTGCATGCCACCTGCCCAGGGACAGGCAGCAACACCCCCACACTACCACATACGCAGTATCTTAACAAGTGGGAGCAGGGAGACTGAGCAGCAGGGAGGCACACTGAAGACCCCCTGTGAGGCTGGTGGGATGAAGAGATGAGAGTAGAGCGGGTGGCAGAGGTTAGGCCAGGTCCAGGCCCTCCCCACCCCCTCTGCCTCTGTGGAGATGATGGAGGGAGTGAAGGAGGGAGCCAGACAGTTGTGCCAACACAACTCCTCCGTCGAGTGTCTAATTGCTTATGATCATGCATGCTCTCTCTCGCACTAAACATTTATTAATGTGTTAGGATTTCCATTAGCGCGTGCCTTGAACTGAAATCATTTGCATATGGCTGAGAAAAAAGTGGGGTGAGGGAGGAAACAGTGCCAGCTACCCAACAGGCGTCAATCACAGTGACAGATCAGATGGTCTATGGCTGGAGGCGCGGGGGGGGGGAGCTGGGGGGCTGTCTGAGATGCCGGCATGCATCCTCTCAGCCCATAACACACAAGTTCAGGAGAGTCCTGCTGGGAGCCAAGCCCCTGAGGCAGTGCATCATCGTGTCTGGTCTGAGCAGTCTCGAGGGGTGCCCACACACAGAAAGTGGAACTGAGGCCCAGAGGCACTCCCTGATTGAACAAACGTACCTGCCAAGCCAAAGTTGGACCCATCCCATATGTAGCCTTTGCCCTGAGCACCGTGATCTGCTCTCTTCCCTACTTGGATTCCGTTTCCTCAGGACACTTCCTCAGCTTGAATATGGAGTTTTCAGTGATCTCCAGCATCTATAAATGGAACTCACAGGGACCCTGACTGGAGGAAGCTAGGACAGGGAGCTGGAAGTGACGGTTTTGTCAGAAAGAGGGTGAGAACAGGGAGGGGTGACTGCTGGAGCCCCACAACTTGATAAGACTGTCAGGGCTTGTGTCCTGATGCTGTGTGCCGCATCTACAGCAGGGAATCTGTGGGTCTCCAATCCCTGACCTTTTCCTCTACGTGGCTGCTGAAGCTAAGAGTCCCCATGGCTCTGCCTCACAGGTTTGATGTCCCTCCATTGTGCCTCTTCCCTGGCCTGGGGTTTACGTAGCAATGGCAAAGGTAATTGGGCCACTGAGGCCTCCACCAGGCAAGGCTCCTACATTGAGACAGGACTTAAACCTGGGACTGCTCCTTCCCTGTGACCCAGGCTTGTGGGCCTGCCCCAGGTTCTGAGGCTACCTCCTCTGAGGTCTGCAGGGGCCCTCCTGGCCACTTGTGCTCCTGTGGGACTTACATTTCTATAGATTCTGTCTGAAAGGCTGCTAACGCCAGAAACACACACACACACACACACACACACCATGGCTCTGCCTCAGAATTCCTCCATTATGCCTCTTTACTGGCTCCAGTTTACACAGTGAAGGCAGCGCTGAGCAGGGCAGGTGGGGCCAGGAGCAGATGGTTGCTTCTCCCTGTCAGTTCATCTGTCTGTAGCCCTGAGACGGCGCGGCGTTCCACACAATAGACTGAAGCAGACACCAGGAGCGGAAGGGCGGAAAGGAGTGAAGGCCTCTCTTTCCAGGTTCTCTTGACATGCTCAGCAAGGCCCTGGTGACGCAGCCAGAGGACTAAGCCACAGGTGAGAGGAAAAGGAGGGGCCTGCTGACCCAGCAGCACTTTTTCCTTCCAAGGCCTAAGAGCTATTAGCACTGGTGGCTAAGCCCCTAATCCTCCATTCAGTGCCCCGCAACTGCCCGTACTTCTGAGCCACCAAACATGGCTGTAGCAAGCTTCCACAATAGCTTTCCAGGGCCCTGACATCCAAGTACCTCACGGTTCTTAACAGCCCAGCCCCAGTAACTCACGCTCCTGTGTAGCACTGGTCTTTCCAATACCCCTCACTTGAGAGGGCAAGAAACCAGAACCGGACTACATACTTACCTCTGCTGAGGGGTCCTGACCTACAGGGACGGGGTGTCTTTAAACTGTGGGCCAAGAGCCGAACGCCCAGAAACAGGCTCCGCTAACCTACATTCCAGATACGCTAGTGAGTTTGGTTCAAGGTTCAGTAGGACAAGATGGTTTAGGTCGGTGGTTCTCAATCTTCCCAATGCTGCGACCCTTTAATACAGCTCCTCATGTTGTGGTGACCCCAACCATAAAGTTATGTTGTTGCTACTTCATAACTGTAATTTTGCTACTGCTGTGAATCATAGTGTAAATATCTGATTTGCGACCCTCAAAGAGTTTGTGATTCACAGGTTGGGAGCCATTGGTCTCCGTGGTGACAATGCAGATAGTAGACAGGACACTCAGTGGGGATGGCCCCTGCTGCGGAGTGTGGTGGTGTTGACTCTCCTTGGGACCGGAGGGAGGAGCAGAGAAGGACCGAGGTGACGAGTTCCATCAGCCTGTAGAAGCGGGCGTTCAGGAAGGAGTGCCACTGCACTGGCTCAGGGCCTGATTGGGACATCAGAGGAGCCAGGGCACATCAGTCGTGCTGGTGGGGACAGCAAGCCAGGCTCAGTCTGGATGTGGTTGTCGTGCCCCAGGTTTCCCAGACCCAGCAAACAGAGGCCCAGAGGGGGAGGTGAGATTTCCCAGGGTATCCTGGTGACTCAGAGACACGGGCTAGAATCTGTGCCTCCTCTAGAGTGACCATTGTTCCGTCTGCGTCCGTGTGACTCAGTGCAGGCCCCTTCCTCTGGTGACCGCTTGAATGAGCCTCTCCTACGAAGGAACCCACAGAACTCTGCAGACTGTGTGGTCATAGCCCTGGCTGTTGCTAGCCAATCATGTGACCTCAGTGACCCACTTTGGACTTTAGGCTCTGCAAGTGAAGATGCAGTAGGTCAGTCAGAGCTGGTGACTTCTAATGGCCGTCTCAACTCACTCTGAACTAACACACAGTATAGACTCCAGTGTCCCCTCATCTGCGCCTGCTAACCCAGCCCTTCCAGAGGAGCTCTTGCCACCCCACTCACTCACTGGGTCAGCAGGTGTTTACCAAGCTCCCAGTGTGTGCCCAGCCCACCCTGCAGGTTCACATCAGAGCCTGGGGGATGGGCAGAGTCCCTGTGAGATGGTAGAGAAGCTTCCTAGTCAGCCCCAGCAAGAGTTGGCTGCCAAGGCTTCTGAGGTGCTGCTGACCTGGGTGGGGGTCAGGGTAGATCTGGGGGTGCCCACCAGGGTCATATCAGAATCAAAACCTCCACCTTGACCTTATTCATATTGGTCTTAATCACCAAGCCAAGCTCTTTTAATGTCTAGAGGCCAACTCCAAGCCCCTGACGCATGTACCAATCCTGTGTTCCTTTTCTCAGTCGGGACCTGCCGGGAAGGGGGTTGCTTTTTTGAGCACACAGATCTAGGAATCTCAGGTGTGAAGAGACTGAGCAAGAGAGAGAGCTGAAGGGCCCTGAGGCTCAGAGGTGAACACTTCCCTGGCCAGCCTCCTCTCCAAGCTCCACGGTCTGGGTACCTGTGTGGCAAGTGGCATGGTGTTTTCTCTCATCATCGGCCCCTAACTCAACCCCCACCGTCTCAGAGAGGTCTTCATACACTGTAGGGTGTAGCTTCTGCATAGTGGGAGCGCCCCTTCTGTTCCTTGTCTACCCCTTGTGACTGCTACTCACCACCATCTCCCTCATGGGGTGCTGGCTTCTTGTCTCCTGTGGGCCCCACAATCGAAGCAAATCCCTTGCCTGGGTGCTCCAGGTCCATGCCAGCTGGACAGTGGTCCTAGAGCAACCTACAATGGGGGCCTCCGGGCACCTCAGCTACACGGTAGAGATGCTGGCCTCACATCCTCAGACCCCAGGCTAGTCCAGGAGCAGCCCATCCCTCAGACCAGCATCCTCAGCAGGCTAGCATCTGTCAGCCTACACAGGGCTCTGAAGCCCCGAAGCCACAGGTCTCTGGCCATCCTCTCTGCCCTTGAGATTCACTGAGCTGTACTTCCATAACCTTCTAGATAAGGCAAAACTTCTCAGGCCTTCACCATGGCCTCCAGGCTGTACACACTCACCTGAATACCCTGGCAGCCTGCTTCTTGATGTGGGGCCTCTGTCCTGCCCCACCCGAGCAGGTCATCCCCTTCTCCATAGCCCACAGTCATCCCTCCCTAGACTGGAAAGTGTTTCTTCCTCTGACTGAGTCTTGCTCAGGCCAGAAGCACTTTTAGCAGGGCCATGGCCTCTGTCTCTGTGTCCCAGGTGGCTGGCTCATAAATGCTTAATGAACAAGTGAGTGAGCAAATTCCAATTGAATGCAACAAATAGTTATCGAGCTGCTGGGCCTGGCGGGGTGGGGCGGGGCAGGTGGTAATGGATTGAGCTGACTATGCTCAGCTCTGTCCAAGTGAGCTCGTGTCAGGGCCAGGGGACTGGGAAGGGATGGGGTAGGAGAGCTCATGGAGAGGCGTTGTCAGTTGGAGCAATATGGAGGAACGAACTTAGGGTCCTGAGACCCCAGTCACAACCTGAGGCCACCAGACTGACAGGGGTTGAAAATTCCGTGGGGGACTCTGGGGAAGACAAGACGAGACACCCTTCCTTTATTCCAGGGCCTCCACTCGGTGTCACCTTGGCCCCTCTGCAAGCCAATTAGGCCCCAGTGGCAGCAGTGAGATTAGTATTCTTAGTATGATATCTCCCGGATGCTGAATCAGCCCAAGCTTAGGGAGAGAAGGTCACTTTATAAGGGTCTTGGGGGGGTTGATGCCTGGAGTTGCGCTGTGGGAGCTGTAGGTGGCTGAGCTAGGCAGGCAGCCTCAGTTTCTGTTGACGAGCAGCCCGTGGGGCAGCTTCGAGGGCCGCAACCATGAACGGCACGGAGGGCCCCAATTTCTATGTGCCCTTCTCGAACGCCACAGGCGTGGTGCGCAGCCCCTTTGAGTACCCACAGTACTACCTGGCGGAACCCTGGCAGTTCTCCGTGCTGGCAGCGTACATGTTCCTGCTCATTGTGCTGGGCTTCCCCATCAACTTCCTCACGCTCTACGTCACCGTCCAGCACAAGAAGCTGCGTACACCGCTCAACTACATCCTGCTCAACTTGGCTGTGGCTGACCTCTTCATGGTCCTGGGAGGATTCACCACCACGCTCTACACCTCACTGCATGGCTACTTCATCTTTGGGCCCACAGGATGTAACATCGAGGGCTTCTTCGCCACACTGGGCGGTATGAGCAGAGGGATTGGGGTGTAGTGTGGGGGCCAAGGGGGCGTGAAAGGGCCTGGGGAGGGTCTGCAGCTTGGGAGCAGCAGCTTAACGGGTCTCTCCCCACTCCTCTTCAATTGGTCTCATCCGAAGCCCTTACGACAACACCGTGATGCTGAGCTAGGCTGTTTATTTAGAGCAAGCATTGAAGGCTCATCTATCTCATGAGTAATGCAAGAAACATGGATTCAGAGAGGTCAAGGGCTCACTGGGGAGTTATGGTGTGTGAGGGTATTCTCTGAGGCAGCTGAGCTGGGTCAGACTGAGGACCAGGATGAGTAAGAAAAGGCACAGAGGTTCTGGTCCAGGTGACAACTGGGTCGGGGTACTGGGCGTCTGACTGCCTTCTCAGTCCTGCTGGCCTCCATCATGAGTGCATGCTCCATACACTGGGAAGCTCAGAGGATTCATTTCTTTCTTTTCTTTTTGCCGCTTACTTTATTTTTTTATTGATTTTTATTGAGCTCTACATTTTTCTCTGCTCCCCTCCCTGCCTCTCCCCTCCCCTCCCCCAAGGTCCCCATGCTCCTAATTTACTCAGGAGATCTTGTCTTTTTCTATTTCCCTCGTTTGTTTATTTTCTTTTGCTTTCTATATTTGGGGGAGGGGCACAGTCTCACATAGTCCAGCCTGGCCTTGAACTGTGTAGCTGAGGACAGCTATACAGCTTCTCAAGTGCTGGGATCACAGGCATGGACCGCCTTGCCACACCGGGTGTTTCCAAACATCTCTCTCACTTGACTTGAAAATCAATGAGGCTACCACGGGAACAATGGAGCCTATTTAGCTGAGGAAACTGAGGCAAGGAGCAGGTGAAAAACTCATTCAGAAATGTGACAGGGCCAGAACCAGAGTTGGGGTCTCCTGACTGAGACCCAGCAATGCCACCAATGGACTTGGGCCTCACAAAGCCCAAGCAAGGCCGGGGCAATGGGTCCCAAGGATGCTATCTTATCTCCTCCATGTCCGGGGTGCTGCCGTGGTTGGCATCTTTGCTGCTGTGACCATCTTTTGTCAGCCTTCTGTGATCACGGCCCCCCAGTCTCCGGACAGAAACTGGGGTTACATGCTAGTGAGCTGGTCTCTGTGGGGTCAGACCCAAGTCGCAGCTGTCATCCGGAAATTCTTGTTGGTTGCACTCCCGTCACTCAGAAGTGTCCCGGGGCTGGTTTACTTTGTGGCCCTTCTCCATACTGGGTTTCCGTGGGTGACATGTGGGCTGGAGTCTGGAGCTCCCTCCTTGTCCCTGTGTTTCCCCTGCCGAAGCACTACCCAGTGTGTGGCCCAAAGCCGCAGCCCCAGCCATTCTGAGGCAGTGTCTCGTGAACCGAAAGCTCTAACCAAACAGAAAGGCTCTCAGGCCTTTGGCTTTCCTTTGCTCATCTCTGCCACATGGGTTCTTCATCCCCCTCCCTCTTCCTAGCCAAACTCACCACATCCCTAGGGCCGGGCTCAAGTCTCATGCTGCCCTGTGCTCTCTGGGTGTGTTTGCTTTCTCTGGTCTGAGGTCAGAGCTGGAGGACTGATAGCTACCAACTGTCTTGCAGGTGAAATCGCCCTGTGGTCCCTGGTGGTCCTGGCTATTGAGCGGTACGTAGTGGTCTGCAAGCCCATGAGCAACTTCCGCTTTGGGGAGAATCATGCCATTATGGGTGTGGCCTTCACCTGGGTCATGGCGTTGGCTTGTGCTGTTCCCCCGCTCGTCGGCTGGTCCAGGTAATGGCACTGAGCACTGCGTCTGGCAAGACCTTTGTGGGGTTCCCATTCAGAACACAGAGCCTGGGGCTGGTTCCAGGCATTATATAACATGGTCTGGCCTCCTAAGCCCCACCTGGTGACTTTCCCAGGCCATTGTCTGAGGCAGGGGAGAAGGGAGGGACAGTGAGTCTGATTCTATCGCTGAGCCATCCATGGCAAGGGGAACCCTGAACACCCCAACCCTTCCCCTTGACCCGAGTCCCTAATCCTCAGTTAAGTCAAAGCCAAACTACAATCCTCTTTGGTTGAGTTCTCCTGAGCATGGGGCAGTTCTCTGTGACCTTGGACCTCAGCCCCATGGGGAAGCTGAACTTTCCCAACATGCATGGTGTCATTATAGCTACCCCAGGAACTGGGGCCCATCCAGCCTCCAGGCCACCATCTCCAAATGTAGGTAAAGACAAGAGAGGGTAGGGACAGTGGTTTGGACACCTGGACAGGGTATTAGGTACCCAGAAGCCTCAGAGAATCTTCCTTCTCTCCTCACATCTCTGCCCTGCCCTTCAAGAACTCACCTAGTGGCCCTTGCTGAATCAGAGCCCATCATCCCAGGCTGGCCTCAGTCCTCATCTTCCTCCCCCTGGCTTGGCAGTTTCTACAGATACACTCAATGGACACCCTGGGGTTTCCGAGGGCAGTGTCACCATCCACAGACATCATCACAACAGCCTTGTTTCTAGAAGCTGCACCAACTCCCATAGAGGGCAGCAAGCCTATCCTAGTGCAGAATGCATTGCTATTGCTAGGAGACCCTCATCTCCAAACTGCTGCGTTTACAGGACAGGCCTCAGCCCTCCTGCCCAGCATCCTCTGCCAACTCATTTAAACCACCAAAGGGCATCAGGCTGGTGGAAAAGAGCCGTGTGGTCAAGTGTCAGGAAGCTTGAGAATTGCCCTAAGGAGAGAGACAGATAAGTCTTACCTGGCGATGGGGCCAGCAGATAAAGACACCACGCTTCCCAAAGCCTACAGTCGCTCCAGCCTCCATGGACTTAGGCTCAGCTGAGGAGGTGTTCCCTTCCAACTTTCTTGTCCCTGTCTCTGGTCCCCAGGTACATCCCCGAGGGCATGCAGTGCTCATGTGGGGTTGACTACTATACACTCAAGCCCGAGGTCAACAACGAGTCATTCGTCCTCTACATGTTCGTGGTCCACTTCAGCATCCCTCTGATCATCATCTTCTTCTGCTATGGGCAGCTGGTCTTCACAGTCAAGGAGGTATACGTGTCCCCAGACCCACGCTGGGTGGCCAGAGCTGGGTGCCGAGGTATGTGTGGACCCCATGGGCTGGACATGGTTCTGTACCCCTGCAGGCGGCTGCCCAGCAGCAGGAGTCAGCCACCACCCAGAAGGCTGAGAAGGAAGTCACCCGCATGGTCATCCTCATGGTCATCTTCTTCCTGATCTGCTGGCTCCCCTATGCGAGCGTGGCCTTCTACATCTTCACCCACCAAGGCTCCAACTTTGGCCCCGTCTTTATGACCGTGCCAGCTTTCTTTGCCAAGAGCTCCGCCATCTACAACCCGGTCATCTACATCATGATGAACAAACAGGTGCCTGGGGTGGGGAAAGAGGGAAATAGGGGGAGGGGGAGGGGATAGGGCAAGAGAGAGAAGTTCCACCCAGACTGCTGGCAGGCCACCAGCTCTCAGGCCGGCAACCTCCCAGTCTCTGGGTAGCCTGGAAGTAAGCCCTCCAGGTGACCAGGTGACCAGGTGACCTGACACCTGCTCCTGTGAAATACATCTGACAGATGGTCTGGAACTCGGCCTCATAAGTCAGCTAGAAGCCAGGCACACATGTGCAGCGGCACACGCTTATAATCTAAACGCTGAGGCAGGAGGATCTTGAGCTCCAGGTCAGCCTGGGCTACATGGTGATATGTATCCCCCCACTCCAAATTAGGATGTGGTCATGCACCTCTATAGCCCAGTATTCAGGAGGCTGAAGCAGGCACGTCAGAAGTTCAAAGCTTCTTTGTGATCTGGGGACCAACCTGGGCTACATGAGAGTCTGTCTCAAAAAAACAACCAGAAAATGACAAGTAGTTCCCAGGCCAGGAATGGAATGGTCTCACTTTTTGTACAGCTGAAGAAGTTACTAAAAATGCTAGATCTGGGAGGAGTGGGAACAAGCCGCTGTTAAAAGCCACGGTCTCTCTGCAGAAAAGGATGTGGTCTCCGAACTGAGACTCTGGGTTCATGTCCTAGCTCTGCCACGTCCAGGCTGTGTGATTTGGGAGAGTCAGTCTCCCTCTCCAGGCTCCTGTTTTCCTATCTATGGGGAGGGCCAAATCTTAAATTCTCAAATTACAAGAGATCATTCACAAAAGGTCCTAAGCATTCAAGGACACCGTGAAATATCATTTGATATTCTGCTCGGTTCCTGGCATCTCTGGCATTGGGGAAACATACACTTAGCAAGCTCTGCTAAGGAGCCAGACTTAGTGAGGGGACATTCTGTGGGTGGTGGGGCTGAGACTGGGCTGGGTGGTAGGGCCTGGTCCTGACTGGCACCTTCTGCCTTCCAGTTCCGGAACTGCATGCTCACTACCCTCTGCTGTGGCAAGGTTCCATTTGGTGATGAAGAGGCCTCTGCCACTGTCTCCAAGACGGAGACCAGCCAGGTGGCCCCAGCCTAAGCCTGGCCAGAGACTGGCTGACTGTAGGAGTCTCCTGTCCCCACCCACCCCAGCCACAGCCCCCACCAGGAGCAACACCCGTTGGAATGAGGTCATGCAGACTCCCTCAGTGTTTTCTTTGTTTTTAATTAATTCATGAAAGAAAAATGAGGCTCCCCACTCAACAAGGACAGCCCAAGAAAGGACATCCATCCACCAAGACCCGCAACCTGGAGTCCCCAATTCCCAGGGACCAGTGGTATCTGTACCCCTCCCCCCAGCTTGTTGCTCAAGAACATGACAACTGTCCCAGCGTAGGGCTAAGTGTCTAGGACAGAATGGAGCTCACAGTAGCTAACTAATAAATGCTAGCTGGATGAAGGGAGGAGCGAGTGACTGAATGAGTGGAGATGTGAGTGAGGGGAGTGATGGAGGGGAACACGTGTGTCCTCAAGTGCTCAGCCTGGCAGAGCCAGTCATGTTTGGCTGGAATCTATAAGCAATTGTTTTTACATCCCTGCCCTGGTTGTCTTCCCCACCCCGAGATGGAAATCTTAAGTTCCAGGTCCTGACAGCATGTGGCTGCTTCAAAGAGAGGTAGGGGAAGGGAGAGAGGGAGGGAGGGAAGGAGGAAGGAAAGGAGGGAGGGGAGGGAGAGAGAATGTGTGTGTGTGTGTGTGTGAGAGAGAGAGAGAGAGAGAGAGAGAGAGAGAATGTATGTGTGTGTGCAAGTACTTTGTATATAAACAGTACAGCTGGTACTTGTGTACAAAGATATTAATTAATAGAATTAACCATCCTGATTGTCTCTGCTTGTTAGTAACTGCTAGTGAATTGGCCGGGTCCAAGCACTCAGTCAGGGTATTTCCCTCAGCCCCAGTAGACTTTTACCAGTGACCCAGGCCTTCAGGCCTGTGCAGGGCTGGAGCTGGATTACAGGGATGACAATGACAGCAATGGGGGCTGCAGTCATTAGGACTGAGAGAGCATTATGACCAGGGGTCTCAGGCAAGACCTGGGTCCTGCCTCCAGTGCGGCATTCTTGGTTTATGTCTTCCAATCCTCCTTGGCCTGAGATCCTGCCCTCCCTCTTGGCATCTGGACACATTTGCTCTTCCACACCAACAATCAGGTAGCAACAGTTCCAGACCTGATTTCTAGAAGTTCCAGACGGAGTTCTAGAAGCCATGCTAATCTGCCTATCCTCAGGGAGTGACTGAGTCCCTGATGCCACCCTTATTCTGAAGAGCTCAGAAACACAGTGTAAGACCTGGACAGGCAGCCGGGCGATGGTGGCGCACGCCTTTAATCCCAGCACTCGGGAGGCAGAGGCAGGTGGATCTCTGTGAGTTCGAGACCAGCCTGGTCTACAGAGCTAGTTCCAGGACAGGCTCCAAAGCCACAGAGAAACCCTGTCTTGAAAAACAAAAAAAAAAAAAAAAAAAAAAAGAAAGAAAGAAAGACCTGGACAGGCCTCATCTGTAGGATACTCATGGATCCAGCTCCTAGCTCCCTTTCTGGATATACTATTTTCTTTGGCATTTGATCTTTCTTCATTCCAGAGAGTTTTGGGTTTGAGGCCAACAGGAATGATGGGGCACCAAAACTGAGCAGTTTCAGTCTGCATCCCTAGTCTGCATCCCTCCTCCACAGAACCACATCTGGGCTTCCACAGGCCCAGTTCTACCTAGGGACAGAGGCAAATGGGAGCTTTAAAAGCTCAGCTCCTATACTTGATGGCAGTGTAGGTAGCTCTCAAGCTCTTTACTTACAATGAATGGAAACTGGGAAGCTTCCATGACCCCTGTCCAGGGAGGGTTAGACTGTGTGGAGACAAGAGTCCAGGTCCCTGGGGAATGTGATGGAGTAGCCCCATCAATCTGAGAAACCCAGCTTGGGCAGGATAGAGACATGGTGGCCTCTTTAAGCTTCTGTATCTGCAAAGAGGAGCTTAGGCCTGCCCTTGAGGGGATTAGATGAGAACTAAAGGGCTTATGTGGCCAGCCCACTTCCTGACATGCTGAAGACACTGGTACACTCTGGAATTGTAGGCCTTGCCTCAGAGCTTCCCTTACCAGGACACCCCCACCTAGCAAGGGAATGGGATGGAGCCTCAGATGTGGAGTAACACCATCCTCCAAGGAGGAAAGGGTGCCAGGGCCTGGGATGGAAGCCCCTCAATGCTGTGGTGGGCAAGGGCAGGGGACAGGAAGGGGCTATCTGTTATGCTGTGTCAATGGGTGATGTCAGTGAGGGTTCATTTGGTCACAAGTGACAGGGAATCCAACCCATCTGCTGAAGCAGAGGCTGATCGCATTGGCTTATAGACATAAAATCTCCTCCCCTCTCTTCAGGCCATCTGGGTATAGAACCTCAGGCCTTCAACACTTTGTGTCTCTTGTCTGTGTTGACTTTACTCACTTGGCTTATCCCCAGAGGTGGAAAAATTGTCTGCAGCAGTCCCAAGGCCAGCAATCCCTCCAGAAAGAGGGTTTCCTGCCCCTTAATATAACCCTGGTGCCAGATCAGGTCCTTATTGGGCAGATATGGGTCACCTGATTATCCCTAAGCCCATCATCATGCCTAAGATGGAGCTTCATCTTCTGATTAGCTAGACCTGGGTCACCTGATTACCTCTAAGCCAATCACTATGCCTGATAAAGGGATTCCTCAATTGTCGTATGTTCATATACCACAAAATAAAGTTGACTTTACATAGTTAAGACCTCTGTAGGATGTGTTCCCCGAAAGAAACCAGGGGAACAGGATCAGGACCAGCACAGGGGAGCTGGGCAGGGATGTGCTAGAATACATTCCTGTGTGTGGTGGATTTGGGGTATTCCCATGGCTGCTACAGCTCTGGTTGTTCCCCATGCTTTACAGGCCAGGGCTAGCCTTGGTGGGAAACTTTAGTTGCCTGGTCTTGTCCTACCTTACTCTTCCATGCCTAGTTCATTTGTTCTGTGGAGTGTCACTTTTGCCCCGCCTTCTCCTGTCCAGGAAAAATGCCCCTTTAGAACCAGAATACTCTTGTTGTCATGGTGAAGGCAGCCTCCCCTTGTCACTTATCACTGTGGGTACAGGGTGAAGGGCTGCTGACCTGAGCTGGGATCTGTAATTCCCACAGGGCCACTTGCCAGGCTCCAGGCAAGCAACATTTGCGGAGTGTACAATCCATTCAGCCAATCACAGGTCAGACAGGGCTGTCACTCCCAGTAGAGAGACAGTACCTCAGATAGCATGGGGTGCCCGAGAGAAGTACAGTGCCAGTCCCAGGGCAAGTCAAGATACAGCTCAGCTGGTGCAGGGTTAGAGAGCCTCTGAAACTGTGTCCATTCATGGTCCCTTTGCCCGCGAGACCATAGTGTGGCGCCAGATAGGGGATCAGACGGAAGCACAAGTCAAACACCTACTGATAGTCATAAAAAAAACTTACTGTAAAATAAGTCTTTGGTATATATGCAATTTTACAATTGATTAAAGATTAAAATAAATTTGCATACTAATGAGATGGCTGTGCCTACTTTTTCAAAAGAATTTAGATCTTGGCTGAATATTTAGTGATGTAGGACACAGCATCTACAACGTTCTTCAGAGCTGGTTGATATTTGGAATTTTTAATCATCGATGCTGAGAATGCCTCTTTGCATAAATACATAGTATAACATGACAGAAGTATGTCTAGGCCATTTCAGGAATTGTTGGAAATCGTTTCCTTAGCCCAATCCAAAATTTACCGAGCAGTGTGTGTGTGTGTTTGTGCACGCACGCACATGCTAACAAATATGCCTATATGTATGTGTATATATGGAGATACTATCACCTGTGTGTATGAATATGGAGAATCTGGGGTTACATATGGGGTCACCCCAGCTTTTACATGGGTGCTGGGGTTCCAAACTCAGGTCCTCATCCTTGCACAACATGTGTGCTACTGATTAAGGCATCACTCTGCTCCCAAGTGATTGATTTATGTCTGAAACTCAAGTCAGCGATTCAAACAATTTTTTAAGATCAAACATTCTAACACAATGCAACCCAAAAGTGTTCTAATTTGACCCTTACATGCTGAAGGATGATGGTGAGAAAATACTAAGCCTTTGTTTTCCGCAATTCAACTATTATGTTCCAATAACATAGAGCGCTTTGTGTGTACATCAAAAACAAGCAAACAAAACCCTGTGTTTCACAACATCCAATAGTTTGGAATCTAAGCTGTGTTCCGGGCAGTTTGTTGGTGTTGCACGGTGTGAAGGCTTGTGCAGTACGATGTACACAATCATGTTCAGAACTGTGAAGGCTTTGTGAAGTCACGGGATGTAACACTGGTGAGCCCTGCCTGAAACACCTCAGATTCATTGACTTTAAGTTAATGCAAAAAAAAAATTTTTTTTATTATGTTTTGTTTATTGTACCTGTCAGGGGAGGGGGAACACATGTCAGGGAGTGGGAATACACGTATGTTAAAGTATGGATATTGATGTTAGAGGACAGCTTTTGGAAGTCAGTTTTCTTCTGCCACACGGATCTCAGGGTTGGAACTGGAAAGGTCATCAAGTTTGCCAGCGAGTGCCTTTTCCACCTGCCCTTGAATTACTCTTTGATCATTGTGTGTTCAGAAACTTTCTACTGTTCTCAAAGTTCTGCCAGCTCCCATTCAAGGGCAGGACCTGTATGGGCTCGAGGCCCACCTAAGAACTGGGGGTCAGAAGGATCAAGGAGACATCAGAATGAATGACACTTCATACAGCACTTGTTGGATGCACACGGCTTCCCTCCCAGGGCCGGGGCCAGGGTTCCGGGGAGGCAGCCTGTGCAGAGATGAGCTTGATGGAGGGCCCGGGAGGGAGGGAGGGAGCGCTAGCTGCTGGCTTCGTTTTCCCTTTCCTTCGGTCAGTGATCCCCTCTAAGTCCTAGCTGGGCACCTGACAGTGTGACACTGTTTCCCTCTCGTCTGTGATGGCTCAGACGCGCGCACGCAGGCTCTGAGCTGTGCATTTCAGAGAATGGAAACGCCCTCCTTCTCCGCAGTCCTTCTTGCTGGCTAGAATGTGGTCACAGTGACCGGACCTGCAGTGGTCATGCTGGATCATGAAATGGACCTGACGTGCAGAGGGTGAAGAGAGGATCTGGCTCCCCTGGAGCTGCCTCACCTTGGATCTTCGCCAGCCATGGTGACGTCAAGAGCTTCTGAAGGGATGCCTTCAAGACAGAATGGTTATTTGGGGATTACCGCACCTATCTTAAGTGGCACAGAGGGCTTCCGGGTTGCAGCCTAGAGTCTGAGCTTGGGAACTTCAGCCTCTTCGTGTGTAAAGAAAAGGATGAAGTTTACACAGACATCGGGCATGGAGGAGGCTGCAGTTTCACGCCATCTGATGCACTGAGTGACCAAAGTTAGAAAATAAACGCTCCGATGTCCTGATGGCATCGTACACAGCAGAGGCACTCTGATCTTCTCAGAGTTCAGGACATTTATCTCTGAAGCTGGAGCAAGTCCCAGGGCAGGAGGAGAAGGTTCCAGAAGGAAGGCAGCCCCCCACCCCCAGCCCCACAGAGAAGTCAGGAGGTTGGCA